TCGTGACTCAAGCCGCTCTTCGTAACCCGTGCACACCGTCGAAGCAGTTTTCATCATATTATGAATCACTGCTCTTTTCATCTCTGCGGGGTGAGCTGATCTTGCGTGGACCAAGACGTGGACGAGTTGATGTTATCACACAGCAGTCATCGATGTAACGACAATACATCAAAGGCATTCGCGCAAGCACTGGCTCCTCAATCCTACTCATGAAGCATACCGCGAGGACTGGCGCTAGGCGTTGGCCCATTGCAAGTCCTCGTATCTGAAAGAAGTATCTCCCAGACCATTTGAAGATGTTACAAAATGAAGATGTAAACATGCCTGAATGAGGGTCAGTACTTGCGTTTTACTCAGTCCAAAGGTACAGATCGTCGTCATGTGCATATCCAACATTTCCGAAAGAGCTTGTAATGCATCATCGTTGTGAACATTGGTGTATAGGAAAGTCACGTCAAAGGACTCTATGGTAACACTATGTGCAAACTTCGTCTTGTGCAGTTGCTCTAGGAATTGCTGAGTGTTGGATAAGTGCGCGGGTACCTTTGCCAAGAGTTGGCTCACGATTTTATTTAGAAACCACGAAATGCGATCTGTCGGTCCTCCAACACAGCTGATTATGGGTTGAATCTCAAAGACTTCTGGGCCCGTAGTAATCCACCCGGCATGTTGGCATAAGACATGACGGCAAGTTCGCGAACCTCACGACAACGTGTTTTAGCCTTGAGCTGTAGTTTCTTGATACTACAGGTTCACAAAGCAATTTATGGTCGACCGCAAAACCATTTCACCTTGCTGGGCTGGAACTTTTCTTTGTTCAGCGAGAGTCGGCATACTAACCCGTTAGACTACACGTGTACATTACACATCATTCTAGGGAGCGTGATCAATCACACCAGTCATTTTCGTATTAACATGTTCACTCCACCTACAAGTGGAATGCTGTGCTGCATCGGGATAGAATTGACAATACTACAAAAGCAAAACTCTTCATCAGATTGTGTAGGATCTCGGGACATGCTCGAAATCATCCAAGGTTCTTGCCGGCCGCAAGAGATAGAACAACTGCGCATAGTAAGTGATGCATGCTTAAATGTACCACTAAATGATCTTGCGAACTTTTTTGAAAAAAAAAGCTTAAAAAGGCATTTGGTGACCACGGCCATTCCTAAATGCGTACTACTATCTAAAGGCTACTGCAGGACGAAGGCGCAGAAGCAGTATTGGTTGAGCGGGCGCGAACTTGGCGCGCGCGTATCTTCATCGTTGTAAACCCTGCGCCTCATGCGCTCTGCGGCAAATAAAACCGCGTTCGCGCAAATAGTATTGCGCCTTCGTCATGCAGTAGCCTATAGGTTCGCCTTAGGGCGCTGATTTCGAACTGGATCTCAATACCATGTTATGCAGTTTCTCAAAAAAATGATAAATTTTCGAGGACCCGTTTTCATCTAATCAAATCGCTACTTTCGCTTAGAGAGTCAGCATATCTGAATACTTATTCGGGAGGTGGCAAGATAGTTTATAATCACCCCAAGTGCTCTATGACACAATTCCTGACTTTCATTGCGTACAAGCGGCGTTCAATCCTCATCTGAGCGAAACGCGCAAACCCCCCTGGTAGGACAGCCCACGCCGCTCTCACGCTGTGGAACTCCGCTGGCAGGAAAATGTACGCCGCTGGCACGCCAAGACGACACACCCCTGGCGAAGGCCCGCAGTTTCACCCGATTTCGGGTTACTAGACTGACTGCAACATTAGCTGATTTAGAAAGTGCCATTGGCAGATTTTATTAAAACGAAATGAGCGTTAAGAATCCTACTATTTCTATCGATTTGTTGGAACGAAATCAAGGGAACACGACCCCTATAACACTCAATTAGGGTGCTATCGGGCCAACTCGATATGAGCAACAACTCAAGCTTATTCCTTGCCAAGTACCAAGAAGTGATAACTACTAACAAAAATACGGAGGCAGCCCAACCACAGCGGCGCATCCCATGCAGGTACTGTCTACGCTTACAGAGTGGAGTAATTACGGAGCGTTGTGATGGGACGCCGCTCGTCGGCACAACGGCAGCCGCTGGCAGCGCTAATTAAGGAACGCCGCTGGTACGTCAAGCGAAGAACATGGGACGCCCTGGTACGCTGCCATTACTACGAACGCAGTTGATTAATATGAGACAGGAATGACGTACAAGATTCCTGTGGGTTCCAGCCGATGAGCGAGCAAATTTCGTGGCGAGCTGAAAGTCCTAAGAAGAGATTTGTAAGAGTTTCTGGTGCCAGAACTGTAAAAACAAACAATTAGAAACAACTGAGGTCTAAACGTTCGAAGCACACCAGTGAAATATGCTAAAACTCACTTGTATTAGTTTGATCCTCAGAGAAAACAAATAATGACGACAAACATCTCGACAGAAGTCTGCAAAGTTCAATTTCTGCAACGAAGTATAATTTGTGCATTTTGCTCTATGTGTGTTCGTTCTTTCTCGGGAAACCTCTCCGTAAACGAGTTGACGTTAGCAATTGTACAGCGCAGTGTTTCGAGAAAGAGTGGACAGCCACATGCGAGTTAACTTGCTTTGAGCTCACTGTTGCTTGAATCTGAGCGTGCAAATCATTGAGGACAGAAGCCAACAAGGTACTGAAGAGCAGGTATAGGCCCAGTGTTACGACCAGAACTCGGAAAAACAAAGCAGGTTAACTTAACTATTACATTTCTGCGACTAACCACTCCTTTTCAAAACAGCCGTCTACAGAATCAAGGATGAAACCGTGACGGCAGCTGTTTTGTCTTTTAAAGACTGTCAACAATGCGAATAAAACATTTCGTTTGTCGAATACAGCAGATTCCTACCAGCAGTTTTAGCATCCAAAAACATGCATGGCGATCCCTTCATCGACTGAGTGACAGAAAATCCATTCCAAAACGTAGAGAAATAATGATCCGCGATTGGTTTACTCACTGTCAGCTTACCTGTAAAATTCACAAGTAGCAAGAAACACACAATAGGAATGGAAAAAACGGTTGAAGTTATGCAAACATGCGTTCCACGACGGTTTTTTGCCCAGCAAGCCAAAAAAGTTTATTATTCCAGCAGTGTTTGAAATTTTCTAACTGTTTTGGACCATAAGCATGTCTCAACTGCAAAAGAAAAATAACAAAAATAAAAAAAAGGTTTGAAAATCCGGCACTAAAACAAAGCAATGTCATGAACCTGCCGGCATCTCGACATGGTCCGACCACGACGAGATGCCGGCAGGTTGCACTCCTCAATATGCACGCTATTTTCCTTTCTTTGCTGACATGAGGGCGAGATGCCGGCAGGTTGAGGGCGAGATCGCGGCAGAAATCTCGACAAAATACCTCACGAAGTTGCCGGCAGGTCAATCTTTTGGGTCCAAAATTTGAAGTTGTCGGGATTGTTCGGATTTTTTTCGATCTCCATCTGGTGCCCACCTCTAAGCTGGACCGTCAGTCCTGGAGAGCGCCAAACTGATTGCTTTGGGGAAGCTAGAGAGGGCGCTGACAGTTTTCATGACCTGCGGGCGAGATCGCGGCGAGTTGAGGGCAAGACCTGCCGGCAGGTAGGGTAGATTACTACGGGCCCTGGTGACATAGAGCGTAAAATTCGTGTGATGCAATTAGCTAGCAATTAGCTACTGACATAATTATTCTACTGGTATGCATTTGCATTATGAATTTACGGTATAGCAGCACACTGAAAGATGTTCAAAGAATCCTGTTCGAGTTCGAGGCGCCGCGCCAAGGACTGTGAGAGAGGAGCGGTAGCGCATTACCAGAATGATAGGCGAAGGTCGCTTATGTAAATAAAGTTTGAGTTGCAGCCTGCTTATTGTTGATCGAAACAAAAATCTCGAAGTGTAGAAAAAATCAAGCTGTCCCATTACTTTCCGACTACCCTGATAAGACGGAGTCGAGTCTAGCCTGTTTGCAGAAATCATGCGCTTCATTTATGAGACGGGGTCTTGATGGTAATGTCACTTACAAGTCATGCACATCGCCAGCTACCAACCGTTCATATAGCCTAAATCGCTCTGCCCCTTTGATGTTATTCTCGGAGTGATAGTTGTGATCTTCAGATGAGCGTATAAGTTCTAAAACAGTTCCGCAAATTTCACCCTTTATCGCTGTAAGTTATGATCTACCTCATAGTTTTCGGCTATTCAATGTAGCCAAATCCACATTCATGTTCGCAAGTGTTTGGCATAAACGTGTAGCGTTGTAAAACCAATGTTAGGCACTAGCCGTGATACTTTAGGGCGGGTGCTTGGTCTATGAGGAAATGGAAGAGTACACTAAAAGATTTGCAAAAGCAAAATCTCATCGGGTTCCAAAGTACAATTATAGCAGACTCGCCCCGGCACTGTCAAAACTCTATGACAAAGGTCCCATCCCTATTCCTTTACAAACCTTTGCCTATGCCCAGTTCTGCATGCCAGCTTCCTGTCCCGTTTCGTTTTCGTAACCAGCTTCGCAACTCCGTAGCTTGAATTTTGCAAAAAATGACACGGTCTATAAACCCAATGGGTGAATTCAGAATTCGGGACATACGTACATACACATAGACATACACACAGACAGACACACATATAGACAAACAGACATTCGGCTTTATATAGAAACAGCGCATGATGGGTGTGCGGCAGAATCGCGACTTCTCCCATTACAGAAGCGTTACGGATTCACACTAAAGACTTTCTTCTATCGTGTAACTGTACCTTTTTGAAGATTGTGAAAATTTATAGCTCAAGACTGAACGCACGCCGCTTTGAGACATTATGAGATTAGAAATGAAACTTTGTAAGATCTTTCATGACACTTTGAAATAATCAAGTTTAAACTCAAATTCCAAAATTCATTCCATTTATAAAATTGTAAACAACACTTTGATTACGTAATATTGGCCAGAATACGGAACACAACAAAAACTCTATGCTCTCCTATGACATCAGCACTTCACAAATCAAAGTTTAGCGCTTGACTCAGCGATTTTTCGCTTACTCAGTGACTCAAATTGCGCAATAGATAAGAAATCATGCTCGCTTCGAGTTCGCAGCCTGTCACGCTGATAACGCCTTTTCACTTGCTTCTTCGCAAAGATGTCCTACAATCCCTACCAGGTATTTTTCTCTACATTTTTCCTAATTCATTTAATGTTAATGTTCAAGAATGCACCGGGTTATCCGCAAATGCCTACCCAGATAGTGCCGGTAGGTCAACCAGCGATTGTAGCCCCTCCACCAGTAATGATGCCACCTCAAGTCATTATGGCGCCTCCACCGCCAGTTATGTTGTATCCCCCTCCAATGATGTATCCTAATGTAAGTTTTTCTTCACAAATCTCACTGCAATCAGATGTTAAAAGTCTTGTCTTCGTAAGAGATGAGGGCTTTTTCCATGATGTTATAACATCGAAATGTTGATACACAGTGATTACAGGTAGTTGTCTACGAGGAGTACCCTCACCATCATCATCACCATCATCGTCATCACTGTTGGTAAAGCCTTGGAATGGTATTTCCACTTCCGTGTCCACCAATGCTCTCAACAATGAAGTATACCTCTACCTTTTTGAAATGTATTTATGCTCTGAAATAAACATGCAAAGCTCGGATACATTTGCATAGATTGGAAAAAGCAGGTGCAAATTGTGGTCAAAATAGGCACATAGATTGAGGTTAACTAAAATGCCAACAAGGAAAGCATGTTTAATCGAAGTAGCCCTTTTAGATGGGATGTATACCGTCATGAAGGGTATGCTAAATCCAAATTGCCCTTCCTAATCTGCGGGACGTTTATGGACGAGGAGTTATGAGCGTTTATTAGAGCGGAAAATTGAACATGCACTTAGAATGAAAATTCGTAATATTTTTTCTAGCGCTTTGAAGGAACGGTGATAATTATCAGAAACTTTATTTAATGAGCATTTTGAGAGAAAAAATATTATACGCTTGGTTGCTTCATTAGACGGCTAGTGATTTCAGCTCAATTTACCCTAATAGCACTTCTAATTTTATGCTACAACAAACGGCCATAACTCCTTGTCCACGAACCTTTCGCAGACAAGGAAGACAGATTTGGAATCGGCGTTTTATGCTTAATATCGTATACATCCCATCAGAAAAGGCCATTCGACTAAACATGCTTCCTTTTGAAGAAAAAAGCCAAAGCAAGATGAAAAGTTAAGAAGCAGATTGGTCTTTCAATTTCTGCGTTTAAACTTTGGAGAGAAAAATAACGAGAAGGGTGTTACTAGACAATGTAAGTTGTTACTAGAAATCTCTAAATGCCAAAGCCTTTAACTGTAAGGGAAAATTTCAAACGAAACTGATGCGAGCAAACGTGAAGCAATTGCAAAGAAATTATTCGTATATGAAAAATCATGATTGTTTATAATGATAGCAGCATTTATGCGTAATTAACAGTACTATATATGGCAGAGAAGAATGTGAGATATGTGAATGCAAAGAGATTGCAGCATCAGAAAACAAAATAACTTAGAAAGCATGTTATGTAAGATAAATGGATGAAACTATGATTATACACGCACATATGACCGGATTTCGGTAGAGATATGGCAATAAAGGCATTGATATAAAACAAACTATAAAACTACTTTCAAGAAAGAAATGAGAGATCAAAATATGAGAAAAAGTAAGTGATAAGAGAGTCAGGTGCAAAAATATAACAACATACATCCCTCGAAGTGATGATACTAATCCACCGGTTTCACACTAATTCTTCCTTTTTGGACATCAACACTCACAATAGTGAACATGAGGCTGGACCCAACTTCGGGATATGGTTGTCTGAGGTTGCTACGATGAGCTAAGGCACTTTTCTCGGCGCCAATATCAACGAATACTCCAAATTCGACTTGGTTCGCAACTCGTCCAACCACTTGTTCTCCTACTTTGAACGAGTTGATTTTGCGAATTTCAACCTGGAATAATTTCTATTGACTAGCGAACCTGATGGTAAGTGTCCATGCGGTGCTAATATCTGTCAACAGCATTCGCGCGTGAAAGATGGCCGGGGTGCGCAGTTTTACAAAATGTGCGCTCTACGTTCGCAATGTACCCGCGTATTGTCGGCAGTACAGACGCAAGCAAACTTCACGCGCAAATGTTGTCATCAAATGTCGGTACTGAAGGGCGCTCCATTTGCCGTCAGATTATAGCCCAGAATTTATACTTTTTGCTAAATCAGAACGGTTCAGAACGGTCTATTTTTATATGACTCTCTAATAGGACGAAGATAAGGCAAAAAAGTGTTTGAAGTTTCACAAAGCGACGAAAAATCCTGCTTCAAAACAAATTCAGTTTTTTCCCAAAAATTCCGCAAAAATTAGTCTGCAAAATAGATTAGAACCGATAATAGGCTCAAAAAATACTGTATACGGTCATAGCAACTGCATGTGTTGATGGCTTTTCTATCATAAATATTCAAGTAACCTACCATCAGCTCGGGAGGAGGTAGCGTTTTGATTTCAGTGCAGAACAGATCCCGCACAGCTGATTCATCAGGTGTTAGGTCAGTAAGATTCTGGAGCTTGCTCATCAGTCCTTGATATGGTAAATCCTGCGGCGTCAAGCCAATCCTCGACAGCAAGCTGAACTTGGGAAAATGGGAACTTGCTCCAGATCAGGGCTCAATTGTAACCTTTTTGCGATCGAGTACTGTGATGGATGGATAATAGTCTGATCCAGTGGTTCGCTAGACACTTTCTTCTTTTTCTTCTTCGGACCATCAAGACCAGAACCATTTTCAGAATTCTGTCTTACGATAAGAAAGCCTGCAATATTCTTCATACTAGCATATCCACATAGTGCCATTCTCTTTTCTTTAGCTAAGACAAACTTCCTCCAAAAATCTTCTCCAAAAAGCCTTGTCCAAGGGCTTTTTCGTGTTACCCTCTTGATCAGCTTAGTAACACAAAAAATAAATTTTTCATCAGTGAAGCTTGGGAAGTTTCACTTTCGACTTGCTTCATAACAACCCTCATGATTTATAAACAGTTCCCAATATCATTTCGAAATTTCTTGAAAAATAACCGTGAGATTTACCCTTCAATTAACTCACCAGCACATTGTTCAAAAGACTTTGCTCCCAGTCCCTTCACCGCTTTGATTTCCTCTCTAGAACTGATTCTTCCATTTTGTTCCCGAAGCGCAACCACACCAGCAGCTGTTTTCTTATTCAAACCACTGACTTTTCTGTAAAAAAAATTATCTTTTCCTTCACATTTCAATTAACTTACTCAAGAAGTTGAACAGATGCGACGTTCACGTCAACACCTCTCAATGAAACGCATTCTCTTACAACCAGTTCGAGGGCTTCAGATAATTTCTTGGCATTTACTGAGTGCTAAAAAGCCAAATTAAATCGGGCTACCTTCGTAGGTTACTTTCACTAAGATACCTGATACATTCCCATTCCAAGATGTTTTGGTTCAATTTTCACATATTCTGCCATCGGATCAATCAATCTTCGACCAATCGACACTGAAACTCGTATTCGCAGGTTTTCTTTTGAAAAATACTGCAAAGAAAAAAATTACCAGCGCTTCGTTGCGTCGGAGGCATATTTGGCAAATCCTCTTCAGCTAGTGGAGTGATACTGTACTTCGAAGCTCCATTTTCTGGCACAGTACTATAAAGACTCAACTGACTATAGTCATCAACAATTAACACCTTTTATACTTACCAAAACCTAACCACATGTGCCCCAAACTTTCCAAAGCGTATCATCGTAGCAACGGCCATTTGAGTTTCCAGAGATGCTTTCCCATTTCCAATAGCAATGACAACGCGACCATCACCGGCTCTATTGACCCAATCCTTCAGAAGATTTTCGCCACGTTGATCAAACATTTTCCCATTCAGTCCGAATTCTGCCGTTTGCACGACAGCTCCTAAAACAACGTGATGAGAATATTCTGACACAAAAAGAGAGTGTCCAAAAGAAGCAATCTTGCTAGTTAAAGATATACATGAAAGAGCATTGCTTCAAAATGTGTCAAGTTAAAACCAAATGTTCATAAATCTTTAAAAAAACACGCTCATGTATCATTTTTACCGAAAGGGATTATTTGAGAATTTACAACTGCATTTGAAACCTCTCTTAAATTCCTTTTGCCTGCTCTTTGTGATTTTTACAGAAAAGTCGCATTTCAACAAGGTTACTATTTGACGACGGCAATTGATGCCAAGCGTAGAATGTATTATCGGAATTGGATTGAAAATAACCACTTTCAAGTTCAAGTGTTCGAAACTCAGAAAGAGCAAAATCAACGAAAATGATGTAGATCCGGCGGAAATAATAAAAATGACTATTGCTTTATTTCTGTGACAATGCACTATGCAGGAAAAAATTTCGCAGCAATCTTACCGTCAAACTTACCCTAATACTTGAAAAAATATATAAGATAGAATTAAATGGTATGAAATGAACACAAGTAAAATGAAGGTGATATGGATAAATAAAAAAATAGATGATTCATTTCATCAAAAATGGCAAGAATATAAGAAAAGATGCCGAAATTTTATGCTCGCTATTAGGGTCATTCCGGAAGAGTTAGTCTTTCACCCCATTTTAGAATGAGTTGTTTATGGAATGAGTTTCACAACGCAGTAACGGCTCATATAAATACAGTGAAAAACATCGGTCAGAGTCATTCCTAGATCAGTAACCACGGCGGACTACCAGTATACTCGTGAGTCCAGTGACTCCACACACCATCCAAGGCACTACAAATCCTCTAGGTCCTGCGCAGAGGTCCAAGCTGGGGAGGTTACCGAAATTTCGGCAAAAATCGAGCACTGCCACGGCCATTGGACGTTCGTGGAAACTTCTCCAGTTCCAAACTGTGTTAGAATTCGGTTTTCAGTGGTCACTGTGGGGACAGGGACAATGGATGATGGGACGCAAGTTGAACGTAAACCGCGAAAACAGTCGCGGAGATCACACAGAACATCAAGCTCAACAGCGTTCAAGGAAGCGTTCAAATTGTTTTGTGAGAGGACTTTGAAGGTAGAAATAAGTAATCAAATGGTGAAAGGAAAGGTAAAACGTTGAGTTTTGCAGGCAGGAGTGGATCAACTGACAGACGAGTTTATGAAGTTGAAAATGGAGACGCAAGCTATTGGTAACCGACCAAAAAAGGCATTCGATGCAAATCCCGAAAAGAATAGATATCGAGGTATACTATAACCTCCACAATGGAAAAGAGAAAAGTTGCGTGATTCAGAGGTGTACTGTATCGATGCGACAAGAGTTATACTAACATGGCCTGCCGGTGCAGGTTTTGGTGATTATATTCATGCTAATTGGGTTGATGGAGTAGACAGAAAGAAGAAATTTATATGTACACAGGTGCGACCATAGAAACTGCAATCTTCGACAATTTTAACAAGCTTCATGACGTTAGATTTTCCTACCAACAAAGGAAGCTGCAGTAATCTCTTCCCAGATAAAGTATCCTTCAGTGGCCTGGAGGAAAATTTGTAATCGTTTCACAACAAGTCGCTGCTGGGGGAGTCAAATCGATTTGGGTCAAGCATATTATCCCCTGTGAAGAAATTCAAATCATATTGACCAGCCAATTTGAAACAGCTCTAAAAATGAATAGAGTAGAAGTTGATAAGAGATAACCATATTTGCAACCATTTTTTCCTCCCGGCTTCTAAGTCCGGTCGAAATTCAGTATCTGTTCATTGATCACAACTCTCAGACAAGCATGAATCTGGAAAGTCCCTGCTGAAAACCCCCTGTGGCCGATTACCAGCCAAATATGAGTACTTGGACATTTGGGAAAGTTTATGAGTTCCAACTAAGCCAGTTACCAATCGGCGGCTTATATGATTCCTTCGTTGCCGAAAAGTTTCACTCGAAATTCTAGCCCAGTGTACCCTTTTGTCCTCGAGTACGATACTGATTAAGATCTAGAGATAGAAATCCTCTGAAAGAATGAGTTTGCAGCTTGGGATCCCTGACAACCCCAATCAGTCCCACATAAGAAGCTACGGTAGCTAGATGCTACTTTGAATTTGGATTAGTTCCCATCAAGATTTTCAAGAACGAATCACAATCGTGTATGAAACAGAATTCAGGCTCCGAATGACAAGACAGTAGGTGATTTCTGGAGAATGATTTGGCAAGAAAAGTGCAGAAGTATAGTAATGCTTTGTAATATTATGGAATGTGGTAAACCAAAGTGCGAACAATACTGGCCAGTCACGCGAGATAAACCGGTAAACCATTCTCTTATTTGAAAGTCTGAAGAAGTGCAAGTATCTTCTTTGTAGATGAAACTCTTATGTGGGCTCACAGTAAAATTTGTCTCAATAGATGCCATAGAAACGGGTGTGCAAATGACAAAAATCCTTTTAATTAATTCAAAAGGAGTAAGCCTCAAGATTGCTATTCGTAATCACACTAAAAGCATATTTTTTTCAGGCACAGCACATGGTTGAACATTTCCATTGGACCGACTGGCCTGACCGAGGAGTTCCCAATTCATCTACACTGGCAGTTTTCCGAGTTCTTCGTAGAGTGAACAAAATGACACCATGTGTTGTCCATTGTTCGGCCGGAGTTGGAAGAACCGGGACCGTTGTTGGGATCGATTTGCTTTATCGGAGGTTGGAAAAAGGCGAAAAAGACGTGAGAGGAAAAATTTTTTCAAAGTTTTCACATTGGAAGAACGGAGGTATTTCAGGCAACACTGCACAAAGTTGTCAAAAATTTACGTGAAATGAGACATGGAGCTGTACAAATGGATGCACAATATCTCTACATGCACCGTATTTTACTCGTAGTTGCAGAAAATTTGAAAGTATTGAAAATTCCACTCATCTCCAACTGAGAGTGAATAATAAATTTTCAGATTGTTAGCCCAAAGGAGACGGAGAAGTTCCGTCAGGACTATGACAACTTCTTAAGAAAATGCGGCTACTTCTAGGCATACCTTTAAAAGTTTTTTCATGAACCAAAACGACAATGTATACACTTAATTTGCATAAAAATATGCATTACTCGTGTTTACTGATCAAAATAAGTGGAAAATTCAATACATATTGAAAAAAAATTATTTAACACAAGATTTTTGACTAGAATGTAAACAGCAATTAAATGTTTCGCAAGACGTCGTTTATATCGTATTTTCAAAAAAAAAAACTAGTTCCTAGACAACTTTATCATTCACAAGGATAAAATTCCAGAAAAGCTTCACTGATCATTGAAGGGTATTCTGGAGAGGAAACAATGTACAGCCGAAAAAAAATTGGATGAATTTGTAGGATTGGAGATATGAAAGTGCATAAATTTGAGTATTGTTATAAGTTCGAAAAAGTGATGGTCAAAAAGATCAATACGCAAACTGAGACGCAATCAAAAGCGCACATCAAAATTTCAGAAGAACCACAACATCAGTGGAGTTAATAAACATCAAATCCAACACGGACCCCAAATTTCTGCGGTATTTCCGTGACCATTAGATCTACTCTCTCAACTCAGAATATGCCAATTTTAGATTAAAAACAAACCAGTAGAAGTGAGTAGAGCAGCTTTGCAAGCAGAATATCCAGGATCCAAAGCGATGATGCTTTCAGCTTTTACTCCTTCGCGCCAGAACAAATGTCTCAAATTGTGGGCAAAGCATGAGATCGCTGCTTCTTCAGCGCGAGCCAGAAGAAGTCGCCTGAGGTCAAAAATCTCGCTCAACTTTGCTTTGCCCACACCGGATGCAAAATAGATGATTTCTTACCGCAGCGTTCGCTGAATTTTCGGAATGAACAATCGATTTATTGAATCTCGAAGAGCAGTTTGGAATAGTTCACGATGTGCCGATGCAACTCTGGAAGAAGTTTACCTCTCTCAAAAAAAATTTAGCAGTTACGAGGCGCTCACCGCACTCCATTTCCTGGATGCTCCTTTTCAGCATAAGCTACTTCAATTTTCCAAGTAAGCACCTCATTTTCCTCTCCTCTGTCCATGGCAAGTATCTTAAAGCAAAAAATGAGCCTTTAAAACCCGGTAATAATTCGTAAGCATACTTGATAGTTCTCCACTTTTCTAGCATCCTTCTTGAAGTTCAGATAATCGTTAAAATTTGAGATCAGTCGGTATGATTTGTCATTTTCCGTCCACTTCTTTGCCTTGTTGGATAATTCAGAGCAAACGGAGAGAAAAACGTTCGTTTCCAATTTTGTGCTGTAAAAACGATAATTACATGGATGGGGTCCTCTCACATTTCCAATGAAACCCGCGTAGGTTCTCAATTTTTGAAGATACAGTTATACACAAGGTGGGAACTGGAATACAATCCGGGTTTGATAAGGTTGCCTAAAGTTTCGCGCTACAGACCTTAATTTTTGGTGAAAGTTCAAAAGTCATCATTTAGGGTACAAAAGGTGGGTAAAACTGTTAGTAGCCACCAGAAGATCTCCCAAAACAAAAGCAGTTTTCAGTTGTAAATACTCGAAGCTGAAGAATGAAGTCAAAGGTATAGATCTTGAAAAATTAGAGGAAAATGACAAAATGGGTAGTCGAAGCCACGTCGCTGCGTTGGCCGCAAGTCATGCATTATCTAGGTCGCTGAATCGACTATGGTAGTGGTTTGCAAGTCCAACTCACATTCTTTTGATTGCATCCTGCGTCTCTTGCATTTTGTTCAGCATATCAGCCATGGCATTCGCAATGTTCTCTTCCACGATTTTCAAGTTTTTCAGCTCTGAATTTTCATATGTGAAAACATAAAGATAGATAAATGAAGTCATGATAACTGTCAATTAAGATGAAAAATAATATCGCACCAGGCTTTGAACCGACAAAGCGATCTAGATGGATGGTACCACCTTCCATTATTGCTTGTGCAACTTCCTCCAAACCCAATTCGCTAGAACTCTACCGATTGGCAAACGTTTAAACTAGGAGAGAAAGGAAGGCATACCGAGCTATGGAAGCTTTGGTCTTCCTAGCACTTGCATACAGTTGGGTGACTTCAGTAACATCAGCCGATTCTCTGGCAGACTGTAACCAAAGGAAGGGGTCAAAGCACTGGTAGAGGATTTGTTTACCTTGAGTCGCTCCAAAGCAACTTTGAGATCGCTTTCGGACTTGATCTTTGTCGAAACATTTGCAATTGCCTTTTCTACTTTCTTATTGAGCTCCCTAGGAGTTCAGCTATGATCGATTAACTTAGGACACAAAAAACCTGGCCCTATAGCGATATTTTGATGACTTGATAAGGATCAGAAACTTTACGGAAAAAAAGCAAACATGCCACTATATTCAGTTTGGTTGTTTTCAAATTTCATGCTGGCTAAACTTGTATCGCTGCAAAAGTCATATAGTGCAATTGCACCACTTTCGAGATCTCGAGTATAGCAGGCCGTTGGTGCCAGAGTCACTAAGACATTACAAAAAAAAAGAACGACGGATATATAAGTTGAAAACGACTGCATAAAGTTGGAGAATTTCCTTATTAGCACTTGTCATTGTTAATTAGTGGCTGAATGAGGACAAGAACAGCACCATAACCCGGAACCACTTTCACCATTGTTCAAAAATCTCCACTAGTCCGTTGATTGAGCAGATATAAATTCAATCAATGTTCTTCTCATGTTAAAAGAATCCATGTTTTTGCATAAAGTCAGACATAGTCAAGAACCTTCTGAGTACCTCCAAACTCACTTAGTTTCATTGAAAACCTTGAAAGATTGCCGAATTTGGTCACACGACATCCCTTCATGAGCATCGGCTCGATATCGTGCGATGTACGCAACTTCATTTCCATCAGCGAATAATTTCACCAGTTTTGAACTAACTCGATGAGGTATAGAAACCTAAACCCGAGACCATTCCAAATTATAAACTACTGCACAAACTGTTACCCAAACCTCTTCACTGATCACATCCTCTAAAGTGTGATCGAGGAACCATCCTTCCTCAGGCATCTACTACAACAAAATCATAGACAAGAAATCTCTCCAATGAATACTTTGCTTTCCAAAGTATTCTTGATCAAGTACTAAGGACGATAAAATATGCGCGAAGTAACACCAAAAAGATAAAAATCAATCTTCATGCACAGATAATGTGTATTGCAACAAAATTTACAGATAAATGACATGATACATATGAAAAGGAAATCCAGGTATCACAGAGATCAAAAAAACTGCTCGTGTGTGGAGCAACCAAACGAGTAAAGAAAGAACGAAAGGTACATCAAATAAAAGCTATACTACAAGAAAAATGCGTTGCTGTGGCACAGAATACTCTCAAAACAAAACATCCTAGCCTTCAGCCGCGTCAGACGTAATAGCCCGAGATGAGCTGTCGATTACGATTTCTCGCAGCAGCCATGGCTCGGCGATCTTCCTTCATAGCTTCATCCACTGACACACTGGAAACGATATTCACATAGGAAATGAATAGAAAAATAAAAAATAAATCAAAAATGAGATGAACAATGCTTGGGCAGTACCAACTTACCTTTCTGCTTCGGATAAAGAATATTTTCGTGCACAACTGAGAAAAGCAGAAAGAGTGCTTTGTTGAGCGTCCTCCTGACAATTTCGCCTAAATCGTAACTGGATTATCTACACAAACAATTATATATACCCAACATCCCTACAAAATTGATAGTCGAACACACCTCACATCTCCAGCATCAAAGCCAAGAATAGTCGAGGGTTTGCCAAAGTTCGCGAAAGTATGGTCGTAGGACTGCACGACGCTGTTGACATTCTGTAAAAATCAGAAATAATAGGATAAAAACAGGTTAAAATGACTTGCAAACATACCCCGTTCCAAAAACTAAATGCAACAGGCTCCCCATTAAGCGGTGTGACAACTCGTTCGAAATCGCTGCCATCAGAACTAAAATGAACTTGTAAAGTGCAAACTTGTGAATGGAAGAGACACAAACCTCTTTTCAGGCTTCTTGGATGCAGACAATTTCTGTGAGTTGAATGGAACAAGAGAACTTTTGTGGATTGATGGGGACTGCAGTAAAATAGCAGAAGCATATCCTAGGTCTCCGTTCTGGTTTGACTGCTTCATCGTATCTTTTCTCGAGATCACTTCATTCACAACCTTCGCCGAAAACTTTCTTTTTCCATTGCCATTCTTCGTTCTAGAGGTGTTTACTGATATCTTGGATTTCTTCGAGGGCTTTTTCGTAGTTCCTGGGGTAAAAGTTTTTCTTGTTGATCGTAGTTTGCGCTGTGCTTTAGCAGTGACTTTCGCGCTTAAGGGCACAACTTTCTTATTTTTTGATCCTTCTATATGAAGGGGAATTTCTCGGCTTTGTTTGGACAGTGTAGAAGTATCCTCAACTGCTGAAATGTTCACGTTCGGACTTCGCACTAAGCATACCTTCACAATTTCCTCTTCTTTTTCGCTCTTCTTGGAACTACGTTTTGCACTGGGTTGAGTCTCCACATTTCTGGGAGTTTTAGAAGTTCGCTTCTTGCTTTTGCTGCCAGATGAAGCTGACTTCTGTGATTTGACAACCTTCGGGGTTTCAAAGGAGCTCGCCTCATTTTTAGAGAAACTGGTGCTTTCCGCGACATGAGGTGTTTGCGATTTGGTGGTAGATTTTCCCTTCTTTGAAGTTGATGAAGTACTTGCAGTTGAAGGTTGCTTCTGAGCATTATGTCTGGACATAGGTGGTGTTTGCTGAGAATGAGATAAATTTCTTTTCCGAGATCTAGATGCATTGACATTACTACCACCACTTGAATCAGCAGACATTAAAGCCTTTGGAGTTGCTTTTGTCTTAGTTTTCTTTGATGGGAGTGCTTCAGTATTATTACCCGTACTTCCTTCTAGCGATTGCTTCTTCGAATTATTTATCCTTGACTTGGGTGCAGCTGGTGTTTGTGGTGATTTCCTCTTTCGAGAGTTCTTACCACTCCTAGTAGCATTTGAATCAACCAGCAAGAATTTGGGTGTTGCTTGTTGGTTACCTCCGTTCGGTGGAGACGCCACAGCGGTACTGCATCCTACATCAGCTTGTGGTAACTTCTTCTGTGAAATACTTATTCTTGACTTCGATGCAGTTGGTGTCTGGGATGATTTCCTCTTCCGAGAGCTCTTACCACTGTTAGTAACGTTCGAATTAACAGATTCCACAGTCGAAGTTTTTAATCTCTTTGAAGAGGGTGTTATCGCACTGTTGTTAGCCGTAGGAACTTCAGTTTGCTCAGAACTTCCATTAAAGTACGGATTAGCATCTAGGTTTACAGTTGTGGAAGCGCTGCCAATATCATTCTTACAAACGGATGGAGACCTGCCTATTTTCTTCGTTAAGGTAGTGTTGGTACAAGGGCTTCCGTCCGGTTCTGCTGCATGCGATTCCTTTTGCCGAAAAGCAGAAACATCGTCCTTCAAACGTCTTTTGCCAGTCCAAAAAAACCAATTCTCAGCTTCCAGGTTTGCTTTAGAGGATTGATACATCCCTTTTGATGTCGCTCTTGAATTTTGGTAGGCTGAAGAAGCAAAGAAATCGTCGTTATTGGATAAGCGGTTGTTGGAAGGTGAACATATCCTTGATCTATTGCAGGAATCACCGAGAGACATGAGAGGCGCAGAACCTGAAACCATCAAAGCATGAGTAGCACAACTACATACGAATGTCATCCATTTAGCCACTCAGAGACACCTTTGACTTGGCTGGTCGTAAGAAAATCCTCATCGGACAGGTGGCCGGTGACGGGGGAACATTCCCTAGATCTTATGCAGGAATCACCAAGAAGCATAAGGGATGAAGGAGCTAAATTGTGATCGATCAACTAAAAACGTACACGAGACTGGGAAAAAAGGTATTTTGGACGGAACATCATCGTACAGAAAGTAAGTGGTACCCTTTTTTGGATTAAAAAACACTTGGATTAAAAATGATGCTAGGAGAAAAATGGTAATGTTTCACTAAAACAAAGACACAACCCAAACAAAACAGTAGAGAGTAGGTAGAATCTCCAAAGCAATGGGAGAAGTCTTCAATAATGGAAATAGTCATATGAACATTTGTTACCTGTAACAGCACCAGTCCTATTATCTGTTGGCGTACACGGGCTAGCACTCCGAGATCGTATTGTTCGTGCTACTTCAAAAATAGGAAATAAATTACGCGCAAGGATGAAAAACTCAAATTCATACGGCTGATCTAGATTATAAAAGTTTTGCAAAAAAAACAGAATCTCCCCAAATTCATATAATTCACGACATTTCAAGTTAAGAACAAGTGATTCTATGGTGTTTTGTTTTTTTTTTCTTTTTCGCCCCTCGCTTAATTCTTTTTGGTCAGACTCGAAGCCTGTTGTAGCTCTACCCCCAGTCGCTCGACTACTCTAACGTAAGTGTCAGCTTAAGTAAGAAAGTTTGAAAGTTAAGCACAAACCTCTTCCTGGTCTCGCTTGGGAGATTTCCAGCTCAGTGGAGGGTAGGGCCATGCGATTGACATAAGCGATTTCTTGAAACAGATACCGCATGCAAAAAAGCAGATGTACATACATTCACTCAATTACCTTGTTGTTTAAATAAATCCGTAGGTATATGTTTCACTTTCATAAGGTAGTTGAGGTAGTCTACAGAGTTTTCAAACGTCAGTTCCTAAATAGGGGATGACCAGGGTCTCTACCACTGCAACTGTCAACTTTACCTTCACGGTTTTTCGGATGACTGTTCTTTCCACTCGAGATTTTCGAGGAGTGGTATAAGGACGCCAACAAGGATGTTTTGATTTGAACCTCTGGTCAAATTCCTATGATGAAAAAAAAAGTAGTTTAATATGGACAATGATGCAAGTTTAAAGATTACTGCGTCGAGTTTTCTGCACTCCTTTAATCGTTGTTTAAACTGCTTCCCAAAAATCTCGGCACTATTATCCTCGGCTGCAAAAGCGCTGAGTCTGAACAAGAATAATTCCGGACCCAAAGTCTTAATAATTCAAAATGCAAATACTGACCCAAAGTTCTCATCACGATTGACCAGTCTCTTCAAAATTCGGTCAAGCTGGCTCCGCGGCATACCAGCTGGATAATAAACATTGCCATCAAGGTCGATCTAAGATAAAAAAAGGGAAGATGAGAACGAAGCTACAGTAACCCAAATCACAAGACCAAAGCAGAAAATCAAGCATTTGACGAGGTTAGACTGTACCTCAACGCCGCTGCATTTCCCACTTCGTTCCATGTTCTCATATTTTTGTAACATGCGATCAAGGTTAAACTGCAACATCTCGTTGCTTCGGCAAAATGCATTTTTGAGGTCATTTTCGTCATTGTCATCATTTCGATGTTGATGTCCCATCTGAGCTACAACATCGAGAATGTGATATCTATCCACTTATATAGGTTACGAAGAAGTAGGAGAGTGAACAAGCATCCTTTCAGAACCGCGAAGACAAACTGATAGATTTATTCGATAATATTTACATGCAAAGTCATCAGATGGCAGCAAAAAAATGCACGGAGGATCAGCTATACAAACAATACGCGGCCTAGAACTGTACTGGAAACACTAACGACATCAGAAAGGATAATACATAGCAAGTTGCATACAGTTGGCACTAGTGAATCTTCGCATATGGAAGGTTCTCCACGATAGTGCCCACCAAGCGTAAGTCCGAAGTTATGTCGGTGGTAAGCTGAAAAAACTGTATGTAAAGTCAACAATACACGATGTCGCCTAGATTTTTAGTTTTTCAAGCCGCATGTAAGCAAGTCGAGGAAGAATAGTCTTCTACGAAAGCATTTTCAAGTAGGAAAGGCTTTCGTTGCTGGTTGATAAGTATGTACCTCGGGTACGAAGGATGTATATGTATGGAAACGCATCATAAAAATAGGAGATGAAAAGAATGAATCAAATAATTTAATGCTCAAAAATTCAATGAGTACGTACCTTCTCATCAGGTTGTACGCTGCTGTCTATCCAGGCAAATGCGATGGGTTTTCGGAGGCGAACACTATATGAAGCCGATGTGATCTGGCCTATTCTCTGGAATATGAGAGATTTCACTAAAAGGAACTCAAAAATTCTGGACTTGCACGTTTACCTCCTCTTGTCCTTGGCGACGAATGACTTCATGACCGCGAGGAATGTGATCCCACTCCAACTGAATATCGGGATTGTCAGCAGGATCGAAGGTAAGAAGTGCAAGTCGGCGGTCAAACTTCATTTTGCTTTGTTCAACTGCTGCCTTCTTTCCGATAAAGTCATCCTTGCTAAGGTCAACGAGAGCTAGAGGAAATTACTTGAATTTGAACTCGAGATGGAGCCAAAATGATACCTTCAAGACCACATTCATATGGATTTGTATCTAAGGTAAGTTCACGTCCCCAAACTTTGTAACCATGTTCAAGTCTCATTATGTTCCATGTAGCCTGTCCAAAGTTTACTATCCCATGAGGAGCACCGACATCAAGTATTTCCTAAGAAGATATGATAATAAGCCTCAACAGATTGGGATCACCAATAGCCTACTTGATAGAGTTTAGCAGAGTCAGCTCTGTCATGGAACAGTTCATAGCTGAGCTGACCAGTCGATGTGGAGCTACGAACACAGACAATGGATATCGTCCCGATGCGAATATGGCCAACGGAATGTTGAGGAAAACCTTCTTCGGAGACGTCGCTCTTAGTAAGCTCAGAGAGTATCTGAAGGATAAATTCTGCAGAGAACAGGCAATGATATAATAAAGGCATTACCTGTCTGCTGTTGGGACCCACAAGAGCTATGGAGGCTAGATATTCTGAGATGCAATTTACTTGCACATTGAGCTTCTTTTCAGCGGCGGCGCGTCGAAGCCTTAACAGAAGGAGTAGGGGTTGACAAACTCCCATTCTACATAGGGAAATTAATGTACTACTACTAATTCCTCCTCACAGAAGGGAATTCTTTGCGCACTTCTGTTTCAGTGGGGAATTGTTCATTGAATCTCACAAAAATGAAGTGAAATCTCAAGATACGTTAGCGGGTTTCGTTTATGATATTTCCGCTTTAGCTCAGAAAAGTAACATAATATAGTGTCGTGAAGACTTTACCAGTATATATCTCTGTTCTCCCGCTCCGGCTCGGTCAACACCAAAAAGTTAGATCGTGTGCTGTCGTGATGGAAAATGTGAAGCGGCCCCAGTATACGTCCCTCTCGAGTGAGCATCAAACCAGAACGAATCTTACCGAGCGCAGGAATCTTTAATAATTAAAAGTTTACAAACTCGCGCGAATGTAGATAATGGGTCAAATGACAAGCTAAAAATTATTTCACCAATGTCAATGTCAGACTACATCGTTATCAAAGAGATGCAAGGACGACTATAGCCATAGTAAAGAAACATTAAAGACACCGTCCACCCAAAGTAAGGATGCCAGGTTAGTATAATAGCGTGGCTCCTAACTAAGTAGTCCGCCAAGTTTCTCTGCAAAATATGACATCCAAAAAGAAAAAATTGTTCCAGAAGGTAGAAGTGGCCAAGGCTCTCCACCCATCAACATGGGTGGTCTGAGGATAATAAGTCCAGAATTGAGCTGCAGGAAACGAAAATGAAAAGCGTCTCATAGCCATAATAAGAGGATAAGTAATTCCAATTTTAGTTACACTAAGACTCAGTTCCAGACTTGTTGTCCACAGACTACCTACGTTAATGGGCAGAGTCACCTTAGCGGTGTCCCTGATGCGATTTTCTTGATTTGGAACTGCATTTTCTGAAGCGAGAATTGAGCGGCAATTTAGTCGGAGGACCCACTAGCATACAGCACTGAAATCTTGCTATCCTTAATCTAGGCGGACGGTGCCTTCACTGCATATAAAAAAAATACAATGATTCTTTAAATGGGTCAACGATCTACGCTTACGTCATTTACAGTACTGAAGAAAAGTCTACAAAGTTTGTTATTCAACTCTGACCCAAACAAACTGAATCCCACCTTCGAGCAGAGAGCGTAGTCTAACAAGGCTTCTGCATCATCTCCTTTGAGTTCAATTTTTCCTTTCCAGGACATATCAATGACGCCGCATTTGTTTGTCACCATTTGATGTTCACGACTAAGAGTAGCCAACATGCTTTCTGGGCCGATGTTAAACACTTGAGGAACCTGAGAGTGTGGAATATTTCGGAACTGCATCTTCAAACAAGATATCAGACCTCCCATCCATTTCTGAAAGAAAATTCTCCTTTGTCTCTCTTGAGGCGGCCATATATTCCACTGATTCGATCCGTAGGTCTGCCAGCAGGACGATCAGAATCAGACCAGTCGTAGAACATTGAGTAAGTCTCTTTGCATTTTTCCATTATGAATCTGAACTTTTTGCGTCAAAGCAAGAGCACACACCTCTACAGCTTTATCGTCACGTAATAAAGCGTATATAGCTCTCCTGTTGCAGTTGTGATCGTACTCGTCAGGTCATAAAAGTTTCAACTCACAGTCATCTTACCACTAACCATCAGTCTCAGAGCAGGTGAATAACTAATTTTTCTGGAGTGAGAACTACTAGCTATCAGCGCATAACACAAGTAAATTCCGAAATTATCTTGGTAATAATCAATCCATTCACATGTGAGCCATCAACTATGTTACACAGACACACTACTATGTATAATTGTGTAGGATCCAATCTGCGCCGTCTTTGCACAGCGCCATCTGCTAAGAGATTAGTAAGTTAAACGTTCTCTCTTCTCTGAACCTGGGCATTTGGACTGATGTTAGTAGTTGTCATATGATATTATGCCAGTGCCAGGTTTGTACGGTGGAATGTTTTATTGGCCTTACGTTTCGACAAAATCGTCTTCGTCGGAGGCCTGAAAGTAGATTGCAGTGTTATCTGTGGGACCAGACCGCCAAACGCCTCCCCGCACTGCCGAGTCTAGACCACGCTCTGAACTCAACGTACAGGGGCACGTCGACCAGAAGACGCACCTTTATCCACCGTGGTGTTAGTGAGAGTCAGTGGAGTCAGTACTTAGTCGCACCGAAGAGACAGACGACACTAAGTGCTGTCCTATGATCGTCACTTATGTATGTGCAGACTATCGCTCACAGATCGTTAAGATAGGCAAAAGTTCGGCTGTTATTGATACACATTCATTTTTGTTGTTCATGCTAGGATTTCGAAGGGAAATCCACGCTGCCTCAACGGTTTTCCTCACTGTAATCTCTGCCTCATATGACAAAATAGTGCACTTAACGTCAAATTCACCGCCGTTGTGCGTTTCAATTCTGTGTCTTCCCAACGGCGACATTGCATTTGCTCGTCTTTTTGCCGCCAGATGCTCCTTAAGTCTAACATTCAGCAATCTACCCGTTTCTCCGATATATGTCGCCTTGCAGTTCAAGCACTCCAATTCATACACTACTCCTGCTTTCGCGCAATCACCTACTTTTCCGTATGGGCAGACAATACAATGCTCTGATAGACATTCTGCGTCATAGAGCCTGTTCCTTACCAACTGCTTCTTGATGTTCTCGTTCGGAATGTTCACAAGCATAACATCATTTTGCAGTTGTGCTCGCCTTATACATTGTTTAATTGCTGCACTGAACTTATCGGAAATGAAAGGCATACACAAGGGCACCTTGTTATCCTGAGCGTGGCTACTGTTCGCAAACTTGGAAGCGCAGCTTAAACGTTGTGGCAAGTAACCATTGCTACGCGCAATTTGTGTAGCCAGTCTTACGGACTCGAGTCGTTCTTGCTCACCTGTGCATACACTTATAGCAGTTCGATACATATTCAGGTTCAGAGAAGAGAGAACGTTTAACTTACTGACTGGAATACAGCCACGCTTTCTCTCTCTTGTTCGCGAAGCCTTGTCGCTTCGCCAGCGAGCAGTTGCAGTCCGGCAATCCGTCATCTTCCTCCAGCGGTGTAGAAACAATGGGCTCATTCCCGCTTTCATTTCAAACAAGAAAATAGGAGCTACCTGTGGTCTTTCCGAAAATGACCCGAAGATAAGAAGTGTTTATCACATGATGATGAAGATTACCATCAAAGAAAGACAACGGGTTTTGTATAGTACGTTATTGAAATGTAAAGCCAAAGAGTTGTATTGTCAGCGTTTTCTACCTGAACATGTATGGAGGAGGATTGAGAGCGGATCGAAGTCAATTTGTGCTTCCATTCGGTCTAAGGCTAAAACCAAACTGCGCTCGAAGTACGACCGCCTCTCGGATTCACTACGTGAGCATCGCGATCAGAAATACTTACCCAAAATCCACCAATTTCAAGAGAGTTCAGATCCGAATGAAAATGATGCAAGAGTTACTGTTATCGGTAATATTCATTTATCTAAAGAGGCAAAAGAGTTTCTGAATCTCGGCCCGTCCTTTTCACTGTCACAAAATATCAGCGCTTCTCTCTGCCGCAAAGTCATGGGAAACTTGCATAGACTACGCGATATGCTAAGAGTAAAAGCTAGACAGGAGAGTGACTTGCAAGTCGTACCATCGGTTAGAGCACTACTACCATCACTGCCATTTCCTCGTTCTTTCTATAAAGAACCCGATCCGATGCCTATTGTTGACAGCAAATTCCGCGTGCTCTCGACTGAAATTTCGAAAGTGTTGCAAAGATTCAAGAACGTGCGTCAGGATAATTTAACGCGGCAACAAAGACAAGGTTATAGAGAAATACGCGATGCATTGAAAGAGCAATCTATCCGTGTCTCCGTAAGCGACAAGGGGGGTGAATTTGTAATAATGCCGCAAACGTTGGATAGAGAGATCGCGGAAATACATCTTTCCGATACTACGATCTACCAGCGTTCTTCAAAGAAAGATTACCAGACGCAGTGCAAAAAGCTGAACGATGTTTGGGTTACCGTGGCGAAGTCTGCAGGACTGGAGGAAAGATTCATCAACAGGCTAAAATTAGATAACCCAATCTGTCCGGTATTTTATCATCTTTTGAAAACGCACAAGATATCAGCGAGCGAAATTCACTCAATGTCGGCAACTACTTATAAGATGCGCCCGATAATAAGCTGTATTGGTGGCCCTGCAGACAGGATTTCGTGGTTTTTGAATAAGATCGTAAGCCAGCTGTTACCAAAAGTACCATCGCATTTATCTAACACCCAGCAGTTCATAAAGCAGTTGCGCGATGTGAATATTGACCGGAATAGTGTAGTGGAGTCTTTCGACGTCACGTCTTTATACACTAACGTTCAAAACGATGACGCACTGCAGGCCTTATCTGAGTTGCTGGACACTCACTACTCAAATATGGTTACTTTTGGTTTAAGCAAAGCATGCATACTGGTCCTCATCGAAGAATGTTTGAAATGTAATATATTCAAGTGGTCTGGGAGTTATTACTCACAGATAAGAGGATTGGCCATGGGACAACGTCTGGCCCCAATCCTTGCGATTTGTTTCATGAGCAAGATCGAGGCACCAGTTCTTGCACGCTTGCCGTTGATGTACCGCCGTTACATCGACGACTGCTGCGTTATAACATCGACGCAGTCCGAAATGGACGAATGCTTCCGAATCCTAAACCAGCAGTCGCGGTACATAACGCTTACAAGAGAAACCCCGAAAAACGGATGGCTTTCCTTTCTAAATACCCAGATAAATCTATCTGGTGACACCATTCGCATAAAATGGTACCGAAAGGAAAGTTCAAAGAATATACTGCTGCATGCCAATTCAGCGCATTCAATCACAGTGAAACGATCCGTTGTGCGCAATATGTATCGAACTGCTATAAGTGTATGCACAGGTGAGCAAGAACGACTCGAGTCCGTAAGACTGGCTACACAAATTGCGCGTAGCAATGGTTACTTGCCACAACGTTTAAGCTGCGCTTCCAAGTTTGCGAACAGTAGCCACGCTCAGGATAACAAGGTGCCCTTGTGTATGCCTTTCATTTCCGATAAGTTCAGTGCAGCAATTAAACAATGTATAAGGCGAGCACAACTGCAAAATGATGTTATGCTTGTGAACATTCCGAACGAGAACATCAAGAAGCAGTTGGTAAGGAACAGGCTCTATGACGCAGAATGTCTATCAGAGCATTGTATTGTCTGCCCATACGGAAAAGTAGGTGATTGCGCGAAAGCAGGAGTAGTGTATGAATTGGAGTGCTTGAACTGCAAGGCGACATACATCGGAGAAACGGGTAGATTGCTGAATGTTAGACTTAAGGAGCATCTGGCGGCAAAAAGACGAGCAAATGCAATGTCGCCGTTGGGAAGACACAGAACTGAAACGCACAACGGCGGTGAATTTGACGTTAAGTGCACTATTTTGTCATATGAGGCAGAGATTACAGTGAGGAAAACCGTTGAGGCAGCGTGGATTTCCCTTCGAAATCCTAGCATGAACAACAAAAATGAATGTGTACCAATAACAGCCGAACTTTTGCCTATCTTAACGATCTGTGAGCGATAGTCTGCACATACATAGACGATCATAGGACAGCACTTAGTGTCGTCTGTCTCTTCGGTGCGACTAAGTACTGACTCCACTGACTCTCACTAACACCACGGTGGATAAAGGTGCGTCTTCTGGTCGACGTGCCCCTGTACGTTGAGTTCAGAGCGTGGTCTAGACTCGGCAGTGCGGGGAGGCGTTTGGCGGTCTGGTCCCACAGATAACACTGCAATCTACTTTCAGGCCTCCGACGAAGACGATTTTGTCGAAACGTAAGGCCAATAAAACATTCCACCGTACAAACCTGGCACTGGCATAATATCATATGACAACTGCTAAGAGATTTTTTTCTTCCCTTTCTTCACCCGCAAACATCAGAAGAAATCAAACCTTTTCACATAATCTGCATAGCAACACTTGAAGGCAGTGTCCAAGCAAAAACTCATTTTGAGAAATTGTGCTTACCCGGGCCTACTCGCTATTCTGATCCGAAAATCCACACTGGAAAGCGCAAAAACGACAAAAAAGGGCTCTACCATGGAAATCAGCAGGTGGCGGGGTCTTCCCCACTGTGAATGCAAGCTCTCAGCGATCTACTCGGTTTTGATTTCAAGCCATGCCTTTGCATCTGGCCGGTGGCGATGTCAGGACGACTTGTGAAATCGAGAAGATTGCTCCGGAAGGTGGGAGCGTGAATTCACGGTGGGGAAAACGCCGCCCATCTGCTTATTCCCCTCCTGTATTAAAGGCATTTCCCGTCGTTTTCGCCCTCCAGTGTGGATTTTCGGATTCAGCATTTCCGTCGTTTTCGCCCTCCAGTGTGGATTTTCAGATTCAGCATAGCGAATATCAACGACTTTCTCTCCTGACACTGGCTTTAAGACTCAAATCTCGTAATTGTTTGAACACAGTGTGACTGTCGTTGAATGAAAAACGCGCCCCCCGATTCGCTACGTCGAAAAATTTGCTAAATTTCTCACTCTCTTGTTGCCCATCGATCATATCTGTTGGCATCAGTGTCACACAGTTCCATAGGTGGCTGGCTGTCAACCATCCAATCAGCAAGATATCTAAAAAGGCAGGGTTTCGAAAGCGACGTTGGAAAAAATAAACAGAACTAACGATTTGTAACTCAATTTACGGTCATGATTTTTGAGTCTGTATCTGTATAGTATGTCACCATCATCTGCACGTATTATTTACGTAGCTAGGATTCACTTTATTCCGAGTTCGCTGTAGTTGGTTTTGACAACAGCGCATTACTTGAATTGCATAAAAAGGCAAATGGAAAGCTGCAGTCAAGTATCAACATACAAACTTAAGGGTGTGTCACTTTGAAGCAAGACTGTACAATAACTTAAAAAACCTACAAGGCAAAAAACGAAGCAATAAACTAAACTAACTCACTTCCCTAGTCCGCCACCACTGGTGACACCGTCCATAAAACCGGCTGCTACCCAATAATTTTTATCAAACGGTCCAACCTGAAAATTCCTTGTATAGTCCATGTCAATCACTGCTCCTTTTCCGTAAAGGCAATGAGCTTCGCGTCACGTTCGCGCGCGTATGACTTGGGCACTTAAATGGACCTCATCGATTAGAAGTCCGCATGCGTAGTTCCAATGCGAAAGGGAGTACGTAATTGACATTGACTGTACTTTGATTACAACTGGCTGAAAATAACGTACCAGTGGATACCCGTCTGGAGTCATGCAGATTGCAGCAGCTTTGGGTGTTACCTTGGCATTTGCGATAGACGGTATAAGTGCGCAGGCTTTGTCATATGCTTCGCTAATGCGGGAAAAATCAGGCTCAATATTTCGGGCACCTTCTAAATGAAAGATAAATCAGTAATGAGATTAATTTTCAGAAGTGAGAAGAAGAACTTGGACAAAATGAGTTTTTGCAGCAAATGCAAAAAAAAAAGTTTTGGAAAATTACCGGGAGGAACTCCTCTTCGTAACCATTCCTCTCTGATCACTACTTTATCAAAAGGATCGAAAGCACCAAAAAAGTATTTGTCCCCGTTTTTGCGTAGATAGAATGTGCTGGCATGGTCCGTTATAGCAGGCATATCAGGGATGGGTCCATCAGGCTAAATCGCCAAATTCGCTTCATTATCCTAGTTCCTAGAAGTAATGCAAGACTTACTTCAAGGTCAGCAAACTGAGCTTCAACGATAACCATCGGAAGTTCATGACCTGTCAATCTAGCAATGTCATTTGCCCAAATGCCCCCAGCATTTACGATATTTCTTGATGTCACAGACGTTCCATTCGCCAGTTCTATGTGCCAGCAAGCTTTGTCCTCAAAACGGCTTTTGCCAGAAAAAAAAACACGGGAAAAGTTAAGTAGCATGAAAGAAGCAAAGTAGAAGAACAAACCTTATCGTAGCGAATGTTTTCCGGTAGAGAATTGATTACTTGCAAACCGCCTTTCTGTGCGCCAGCTATTAAGGCCTTAGTGAGCCCTTCAGCAGATATTACTCCATCATTAGTAGTATATAACGCTCCAAGGATCTATAAGCAGATTGCTGTTGCTCAGTAATCATGGCGGTGGAGATAGCAAAAGAGAAATATGAAATCACTTGCTTAACATCCACAAAAGGAGCTAGTTGTTGAGTCTCTTCAGGGGTGAGAAGCGTTGTTTTGCATACGTCCCCCTCCTACAACATCAGGTGAGATCAAGATCTGTATACAAAAGAAACGAAAAACCTTGAAATAATCTCTTGCAACATAGTGTTTGAAGTCTTCGTATCGACTGAGAGTACTAGCAAGATGAATCGTACCGTTTTGTACGAAAGAAGGAGACTGAAAGTAATTTTGGAATGCAGAATCACTAAAACTGTGCGCCACCAACCAATCCAGTCTCCTGCTCAAGTTTGCTGTACAGATCTACCGTATATGCTAAGAAAGGTTTGTATCGATGAGATGGATGAGCCGCAACTACGAATCCAGGTGAAGAGTAGGTTGTTCCAGCTGGAGAAGCCGGTTCTGCAGAATAGCTGAGTTGGGAACTCCGTAACGCACTCAAAAAAAAAACTTTACTCACTATCCTTCTCTATGAGTATCACATCTTTAATGTTTCTTTTCGTCAAATGATAAGCTACTGAACTACCGGCTACTCCTCCACCAACAATGACTGCAAAAGCATTGCTACACGTAGACTGATTCCTAAAGTAGTGATTAAAAGTTGCAAAGCATGCCCATTCATATGCACCAACCTCGTGGCCAGAGCCAGTATAGTTGGATTCAGAGCACTGACTCTGGTCAAGCTGAACATGTTCGGAATGCTGAAAAACAAAAAAGATGCCAGAGTACAGATTACCTTAAAATGTCTAAGCCAAATTCAAAGTTAGCATCAAAATATGTTGAGAAAAGAAGCTGCAAAAATGATAATTTTTAAGGCAAAAGAAATTAAAGTAGCCATGTCGACGGTTAACCTGAGATAAATTCGATATCTCAATGATATCTGAGAAGACTTTGCGTGCAAAGCTGAAGTGCATTTTAATCACAGACCAGCGCGGCTCGTGTGTAATATATCATTAAAAAAGTGCTACTGTCAAATAGACATCTACTAATCGATGTTGTTGTTCTGAACAGATCATCGCGATTTTATGCCCTACAGTGTGCCAGACAAATGCGGCGCCTACGCAAAAGAACGACGGAAGCAGCAATAAGATAACATCACATGGTTCTAAAATAACAGATAGTTGCGATCATTTCAGTTCTACGTAAGGCTTTTGCTGCCGTCAACTTTCCAAGAGAGAGTCGTTATGTAAACTTTGAGTTATTGCAATCACCTAAACAAAAATACCATCACGACGCCTTACACCCCTGATTCGTGTAAATTCCACGAATACTTATAAATCATCAATGCAAATAAAAACTGTAGATCAATTCAGTGAGATAAGTGCCAGTATCGCGATGATGGTCCACAAAAAAGCATCGTGTGCTATCTGTCAGAGACTACGTAAACAATGTATACTACCATCACAAAGAACTGCAGCCTTCGCACTGCTGTACACAGCGCCTGCACTCGCTATGGCCAGTTTTCAATCGCAGCGCAAGGGAAAAGTGCAACCTTCATTGCCTCTGTCTCGTGCCCTCAAACATCCTAGTACATATAAACTGAGAACGCCTGCTAAGTTCCCTCAGTGTTCCAGCTGCACCCCAAGTTCTTCTGCACTTTATAGTCACAGAAATCAAAGTTTAATAGTCATCACGAACCTGTAATTAGGAGTTTTGAGGAGAAAATAACATGTAACCTTTTCTTCCTCAAAAATTGCCAAATAATTACAACAATTACAGCTTCTTGCAGCTGAATCAACTCAAAGGTCAAAGCCCCACTGGTGACACTGTCACAACAGAATCAACGAACAGTGAAAAGCGAAGCTTAGTTTGGTTAGAAGCTATCAGGAATAAAGTTGTCCTAAAAATGAATAGTAAAAGTTCTTACCTCAGCTAGATAACAAGAAAATCGCATCGCAAGACAAGCTGATTATGTTGGGTTCGTTCCGACCATAAACGCTCTCTCGATCCATTATCCATGTCAGCGCCAGATCTTCAATTGACATTAGGGAAGTAGTACACAATCCTGACCAACTTCTTTCAGCAATATTTATCGATTACCGCGATAAAGAACATGCTACGACTAGAGTAAACCATAATTTATTCCTATAAATTTTTTACGCACTTAAAACAAGATGCCATCGCAATAAAACCCACCAAATTTTAGTACAAGCTCTCAAATTTTTGAGTACAAGATATGAGCTGCAAATGAGATAAACCTCATGGTCAACTATATTATACACAGCCGCTTTGATACAAACAAGAGGTCTGAGTCAAACGTGTCGAGAAAATTATGTACAAAAACGAGTTAAAAATGAAATTCTAGAAATGTCTATTGGAGATTAGAGCTGAATTAAGGCATGCAGGTTCAGCTTCCAAAATCTATTGAATAGGCGTGTGTGGAAGGTTTTCTAGAATAGTGCCGACCAATCGCTCTTCCGATCCTATGTCCACCGTAAGCTGAAAAATGTTACTCATGTCACTCATGCTCAACATTCTACGAATTGAATGCAAACTTCATGGTTTTTCTTTTTACGAAGCCTTCTTTTTCTAGTTCTTACCAGACATGATACAGCACTGAAGGAAAATTCAAGATTCTGGAACTACCCACCGATGTAACAATTACTGTTGATCTACAAATTTTGATGTTTTGGCATCCGCCATGATTGAGCCAGAAACATAAATTGAAAAGAAAACTACAAAAAACTGTTTGAATTCTTGTCAGGCCGTTTTCCAAAAAACAACTTGCTATAAATGTTTCATTGTTTTTGGCAATATTTCAAATATTTTGAAAAACACAAAACTGACACACTTAGACGATAGATTTTAGAGATGTAACTAATCTGAGGCCGTCACCACCTATAACTTCGTTTCGTTATGTTTTTGCACTCCTCGGCTTGAGATGCTTGAAATTTACAAGCAGAGGTACGTAGATTGAAGGCATCGTCCACCCAGATTCTCGACTTCCATGTTTTGTCGTTTCGGGGTCTTCTCATGTCCCTGATTCCAAATATGATATCGAGAATCCTCGAAAATCTCGACAATTCTCGTTCCGGAGAACCTGCAAGCCTGCCTTCTGAAACGGTGATCGGCTGGGCGCGCATGGATGGGCGGGCATGGAGGGCGGTGCCGTCTGGGGGGTCCCGTGCATCTTCGTTATTCCAGAGTGATATTCTCGCTCCCGAAGTGATATCTTTCGCTGCGGCTTGGGCATTGGCTTAAAGGCAGCGTCCAGGCAGATCTGGATTCATGGCAGTTTCGCGCCAGGATCCACGCTTTGCGCCATGAATCCATGCGAAACACGGTCGCGGGGTCCAGTTTCGAAGGGAATATCTCAGCCATTACAGGACTATCTGAGCTGCCGCTTGGGCAGTATCTTAGTTAGACCCCCGAAAATTGTTTCCACGTTAGAGCCCCATACGACCAAATCTGCCTGGACGCTGCCTTTAATAGGAGGCTCTAATACCATATGCTGCCAAAAGCCTAAGACCCTCGACTTAAATTCGGCGGTGCCTTTGAGCTGATACAAAAAAGGCGATCGTGGTTAATACATCCAGTCATAAAATCATCATACAGTTTCCACTGGAAGAGTGGACAATGGGTATGGTGGTGCAATAACTATGCCATACCTTTTCGTCAGATCGAACATCGTTGTTGATCCAAGCGAATGCAATTGGTCTACGAAGACGGACGCTGTACGTGGCGGAAGTGATTTGGCCAATTCGCTGGAAATTTTCACATTTTATCTCACCAAACTCATGCAAAATTAGATTCCAACTTCGTCCTGGCCTTCCCGATGGACTACTTCGTTACCAAATGGAAGATTTTTCCACTCGAGCGGAATATTGGGGTTGTATTCCGGGTCAAAAGTAAGCAGAGCAAGACGTCGATCGTAATTTTTCTCTTTTTGTTCAAGAGCGGCTTCTCTACCAATAAACTCGCCCTTCGAGAAGTCAACAAGGCCTGAAGAGATTGCATAAGAATGCATAGTTTATGAATGCAGCACTATGAAGGAATAATGAGAAGGATTATTTTACCTCCAAGTCCACATTCGAAAGGATTTGTATCCAAAGTGAGTTCTCGTCCCCAAATCTTATATCCATGCTCAAGTCTCATACTGTTCATTGTAGCCTGACCAAAGTTTACCACGCCGTATGGAGCGCCAGCAGAGATGATTGCCTAAAAATCTGATTTTCTGTCACAAAAACATAACATGTATAATCCATTGCCTCATAGAGCTTAGCTGAGTCAGCTCTGTTGTGGAAAAATTCGTAGCTCAGCTGACCGGTTGACGTTGAGCTTCGCGCACATACCACAGCTACAGGTCCAAGACGCATTAGACGAGTGGAGCGTTGTGGGAAACCCTCCTCGGATACATCGGACTTCGTAAGCTCAGAGAGTAACTGAAATGTGATTGGATAAAGGGACGTTCGTCCATGATTGCCAAAATACCTGTCTGCTGTTAGGACCTACAAGCGCGAGAGATGCTAAGTATTCGGATACACAGAACACCTGCACCTTGAAGTTCTTCTCGGAAGCCGCACGTCGAAGCCTAATTATGAGCTTAATAAAGAGCAAAAATTCAAAAAAGGTTAGAAGTTATTACGAAACCTGACAAATGCAGTGAAAAAATTTGTAGACAAATGCAGTGAAAATATTTGTAGAGGAAAGGGTCAAGCAAGAATTGACCAATCACCAGTAAATATCGCGACTTTCTCTCTCAGGTTCTGTGAGCAAAATGAAAGCAGAGCGTGTGTTGTCGTGATGGAAGATCTTCATGGGAGAAAAAATGCGTCCCTGACGAGTTAGCATCAAGCCGGATCCGATTTTACCAAGAGATGGAATCTGCAAAACACTAGTCGTTACGTCGTATAGTTTGCAGCCTATCTACTTCACAAAGAGAACAATGTATGATGAGTGTTAAATTGGGAAGAATGCACTTATTGCTTTTTCGCGAATGAAAAAATAGAGAACCACCCAACCAGTAATTCTTACATACCGGAGAGCAGATCGCGTAGTTCAGAAGAGCTTCAGCATCCTCTCCTTTTACTTCAATCTTTCCCTTCCAAGACATGTCAATCACACCGCATTTGTTCGTTACCATTTGGTACTCCCGACTGAGTGTAGATAACATGCCCTCTTCCTCGATGTCAAACGCTTGAGCTACCTAATAAAATAATGCTGTGCAATCTGGCATGATTAGTATTCCAAACTGACCTCCCATCCGTTTCGGAAAGAAAAATGGGCTTTATCTCTTTTGAAACGACCGTAAAGACCACTAACGCGATCCGTAGGTCTACCAGCATGACGATTAGTGTATGACCAATTATAATACATCGAATAAGTTTCTTTGCTCTTTTCCAGTATAAACCTGAATATTACTATATTCTGAAATACAGAAAAAACATTTCAGATGCTCTACGCCAATATCGGCTTATCAATGAATGGATGTCTTACTTTCGAGTTGCCCATCGGTCATATCGACTTGCGTCAGTATCAAACAGCTCCAGAGGGGGTTCTCCGTCAACCATCCAATCAGCAATATACCTTAGAAAAAGAACTCAGTCGTGCATTAAGACAATGAATGCAGACTACTAGAAGTATTAGGAAAAAACAGGTAGCCGTACTTTCCTATCCCACCGCCGCTACTTACACCATCAAGGAAGCCAGTAGAAACCCAGTAGTTCTTATCAAATGGACCAACCTAAAACATTGTTTAGCAGAAAATGTCGTCCGCTTATCCATGTCTTACCAACGGATATCCATCAGCAGTCATGCTGAATACAGCTGCTTTGGCGTCAACTTTTGCATCCCTCAGAGAAGGTACAAGTGTGCAAGCGCGCTCATAAGCCTCTCCCACTCGATCAAAGTCGGGTTTGATAGCACGCGAGCCTTCTATGATGAAAAAATTTGAGTAGAGATTCGCAAACTAGGGTTTTGTGAAATTACTACCAAAACATTGCGAAGCATAAGTTGTGAATCTTTGAGACTTTAATGAAACTGATCTCGGTTTAGTCTAGTTTAGTAATCTCCACCATACAGAAACCTTTCTTGTTTGCAAATCATTTGCAACAGCAGTAAAAAACTTCTCTATACCTGGTGGAACACCATTGCGGATCCAGTCTTCCCTAAATACGACCCTTTCCATGGGCTCAAATCCCCCAAAAATAAAACCGTCTCCACTTTTTCGAATGTAGAAAGTGCTGTCATGATCAATTATAGCAGGAACGTCAGGAATGGACGAGTCAGGAGGCTACAAAATAAAGTAGGTAAGCTACTGTAAGCAGACTAAAACGAACTTACTGTTATACTAGCATACTGATGTTCAGCTATGACCATCGGAAGCTCATGACCAGAAAGTCGAGCAATATCGTTCGCCCAGATCCCTCCAGCATTCAAAAGATTTTTGGTCGCTACGGTTGTTCCGTTAGTCATTTCCACGTACCATAAACCTTTCCCCTAACGAAACGTTTGGAACAAACTAAAGGGTTTGTAATGAAGATGTAGATTTACCTTATCATACCGAATATTTTTAGGTTCAGAGTTGACTACTTGAGCACCACCCCTTTTTGCTCCAGCAATTAATGCTCGATTGAGTCCTCTGGCAGAGATCATGCCATCGTTAGTTGTATACAGTGATCCGAGAATCTGAAAAGCGCACAAATTATGACAGCGCTGAATAACATGACAAGCATCTCACTTGCTTGATGTCCACAATCGGAGCAACTTTGAGGGTCTCCTCAGCATCAAGCAAAGTTGTTTTGCAAGCGTCTCCTTCCTGAAAGATGTGATGCAACAAAGGAAAGGCAAAATAAACAAGCCCAAAAAGATCTGACCTTGTAATAATCTCTAGCAACATATCGCCGAAATTCTTGAAATCTAGTAGGGTTAGTAGCAAGACGTATTGTTCCCGTTCTCTCAAAGTTGATTTGCTATAACTCAGGGTTAAAAATCGCTTGCAAAGGAAAATTCGATATCGACTTACCTCTCCGGTTTCTTCTTCTAGTTTGCTATACAATTCAATAGAATATGCGAGAATAGGTTTATACCGGTGAGCAGGATGACTAGCAGATACAAGTCCTGGTGAATGGTAAGACGTGCCCGACGAGCCTGCCACCTCTGCAAGCAAAAAACCTGATGCCTCTAGCAGTGATAAGGACATTTTGAAACTGGCAAATCACTGATAAAACTATCCGATGAAAACTCATTTTATGCATTTGATTAGTCAACTGTGATGCCTGTAAAGTCAAATATCGGAATGGACGCAAAACTGCGCTAGTTCAGGACCGAGATCTTACTAAGGAGTACATAGACCTAAATTTCCAAGTGGTTAGATGTCTTGCAATCAGTTTACAAGTATGTCCATAATTAAGTTTTGTAGTGAGTTACAGCAAATCTTTGTTCGCGAGAGCAAGTCCCAACTCTTACGTGTAAAACAATGTGTTCATCGCATCTAAATTAGATTCAATCCCAATTGGAATCAACAGTGATATAATCGCACTATGACTTCCACAGCTTGCCAAAGAGCATGTACTGCCACTATGAGCAGTAGATGCGTCGATGAATCTGTGAAGTTAGAATCTCGAATCTTTAGCAACATTACACTGCCCTCAGCATCGCGGTGGAAGATGCATACTCATGCCAATTAAACCTCCAGACAAGGAATGCAAACAAACTCTTGAAACGGTGTAAGAATTTCGCGTTTTTTGTAGGGTGTAAGAATTTCACGATTTTTGTAGAGTTCTAGAAAGCGCTGCCTGTTGAATGCGCTCAAACACAGAGATTGCACAAACATCTTGCAGGTAGATTGTCAGAGAACATAGTCCACCGGAAGCGCGAAAACTCTAAGTTACAACTAGGGGACACAATATTAGCTCAACAAGAAATTGCACTTATAGATAGGAAACTTCATGAAATTACTACCATAATACTTACATTTCCACGAAGTGACATGATAAGGACGACCGCATTACACAGAGACCATGTAGAACAATAGCTGCACCGCGCTAGGTGAAACTAAGCGAGCAGGTGAAAGTGAATTTTTTCTAGTTCGTAACAGTTATGTAAATTCATAGTGAAGACCTGTTCAAACTCGTATACATCTTGTCTTGCGCGTTTGACATGTCGCACTCAATTAGTTGTTTTTTCTGTTCACTCTGGCACGTGTGAGCATGTTAGCCTTGTGTATATAAGCTCAAGTGGACCACATCTCAATCATTTGCGTCAGATGCACACAATGGTAATTTTTCTCGCTACTTTTTTCTGTATATTCGAGACTACTTTGACAACAATGCAGATTATGCAGCAATCCTACTAGTTTCAAAGTACATAGTCTTTAGGAGACTACTTTTCAAATTGAATGAAGTTTACGTAAATGAGCGTAAACTTAATCATCTACTTGCAGCGAGAATTATTTTGAACCAGCTGGCTTTCTCGGTCCAGCCCGGGTCATCGTTTAGGATGGTCAAAAACCACACTTTGTCTTTCCTCCTTCCCGTCTTTTTGGTTCAGCCATATTCTCCGCCCCTTTTCTGCAGTCTCAATAGTGCACTGAAAGCTCCGTTTCCTTACCCTCCTGCATGAGCTTACCTCAGAAAGATTGACTGGAGACTGCATCTTCTATATTTTAGATTGAAATGAACTTTACTGCATTGTACACCAAAATGTGCAAGCGGTTTGATAGCGGCTGGTAAATGTTCATTTCATTGCAAGGTGCCAAAAATCAATAAATCAATAGAAAAATTTCGCAAATCGCTTCGGAAGGTAGCTTAAGACCACCTACGATGTCGGAAACATATGGATATTTCAGCTCATCGGTTCAGGCGCAAAGGAGTCTATAAAAAAAGATACGGTCAAGATCTTGCACAAACTTTGACTTTCATATGTGTAAGATTGCCCCTAGTTATTCGTCTCGATTAAAGTCAAAATAACCAAGGGATTTGTTTTCAAAGGCCAATTAGCTTTTACTTGTCTGCTAAATCATACACCATTTCACTTTTTATACAGCGCAGGATAATTTTGGACACTTACGATGCGCTAAACGAAAAGCTGTTTCTAAGATGACAGACTATGAACGGGAAATGACTTTAATAGCATGGCCATACTAGCAGAAAGATCGTACACGAGTTTAAATTGTTATACGGAAAATGCAACAGACCTTCCTTCTCGAGCAGTATCACGTCTTTAATATTTCTTTTGGTCAAATGATAAGCTACAGAACTTCCGGCCACTCCGCCACCCATAATGACTGCGAAAACATTCTGAGTGGATTGTTTTCTAGAAAAGGAAACACTATAAGGAAAAATCCCAAAATTCCAAAGTTACCTTATGGCCATTGTCAACACGGAGGGTCTCAGGGCGTTGACCCTTGTCAAACTCAGCATGGTGGCAAGCTGATACTCCAAAAATCACTAAAGAGCAAGCAGTCCAAGAAAGCGCAAAAAGGCCACGAAAGCGAAGAGTTCGCCACACACAATAATGCGATAACATCTCATAGTTCCGAAAAAAAGGGCTGCTCCTGATTACTTGCCCTTGTACTATTTTGCTGATTTTTTTATAAGACGTTATCTCTGTGCAGAGAACAAGAACTGCTGAGAACCGAAGCAGCAAAAAATAATAAAGCGGGTTGATCGGAGTACTAGTTGTAATGCAGCCAAAAAAAAACCTTTACTATCAAACAAATCCGCTCGAAAATCATGAAGAAGTGAGCAGGAGTAAACACAACTAGGGAAAACAATAGGATTAAAGTGTTTACGCGATTTGCTGCTGAAGTGGCTCAATCTATTCTCGCAAAAACCCACAAATGCTCGAAGAATGATACTCCATTATGAAGACACATTATTTCTAGAAGTCTTATCTCTGAAGGCCAACCTGATAAGGTCATGCGACAAAAAAGGAGGAAAGATTTTTGACAAAATCTTGAAAATTCTTGTGCTTTCAGTTTGCCGTGAAAGACCAATAACAAATATTTTGAATACTACAATGGTCAAGACTATACCGCTCACAGAAAGAACATGAAAACACTAACTGTGGTCAAGGACTTGGTGCGACCAGGGCCCGGCACGAGACCGTTTCTAGAGTTTTTAGAAACGAAGTCCCCCCTTGACTTTCAAGGATATTACGAAGTCCCCTTTGACCCATGCCCTACCTCCCCCCCCCCACCTCCACCGAGAAGCAAACAAAAGTATAGAGTATTTGAAAAATTGTGACGATGGCGCTACCGCGCGCGACATGCAAGCACCTTCCGACAACCGCATTTTCTTGGTTTTCATCCCTTTTCAAATGGGTTTTCTGCTTACGTATAATAGTATATACACACTGGAAGTGACTGAGCTGAACGTTGAGGTGATGCCCTCTTGTATGAGCGTTCTATGCTGTGAAATCCGTCTCACGATAAATGAACACGGAAACATATATCTCACGGGAACAACTTTATTAATTGAAATTTACAAATCAGTTTCGAAAGAACTAAAAATAATGCTTCAAAGAAAGGAAAACAAGAGACCATAAAGGAGATCAACGGTGAAAAAAAAATCTGTAGAGGTTTACGAGTATGGCGGTTGAGTATTGTACTGGCCAGGCGTCAGTATCAACCCAGGGGCTGGTGCAGGAACTTGCGAAAGTGGCATCTGGGAGGTGACAGCACTGATACCTACAGACTGCGCCACAGCAGGAAGAGCACGTCGGAGTATCTGAAGATAGGACATATGATGCAGCAACGATTAAATTGGCATATGTTGTTAGAATATTTATTCGTCAAACCTGGTACTACTATTTTCTTTTCTCAGCATTGCTAGATTAGCTTACCTGATTAGAAACTGTTCGGCCCACCGAGTAGGCGGATCTTTCCGAACCAGCTCCTGTTGCTGGAGTACTCGGCGCTGACGTGGACTGCGCAGGTAAGCTTGCAGGTCGAGGAATAGATAAGTTATCTTAATAATGGCAGATGACATGAGAAGATCAGAGACCAACAATATATAGTAGAGACCAACAATATATAGTGGCACTCACCGGCATTAATTGCGGTATCAAACCTTGCGGAAGATTTTCATGCATCGCTGTTTGGGCTGCAAAGCGCTTACGCATGTACTCGCTCAACTGCTGCGCATCCTGAAACGTAACAGTGAGATGCACCAACTATGACATGTGACTCAGACAATTCACCTGTTCAGCATCAGGACCATTCAACATTTCCTGGAAACTAGGGATAGGGACACCAGCTAACGACAATGGATTCGGATTGGTGCCGAGTGCAGGCAGTGGAGCTTGCGGATCCAATGGATTGACCAGTGGCATATTTGACTGATACTGCATCAGGAATGGGGATGTCTATGTCAGCATTTCAAAAGCTTCCAATCGTGCTTTCATCTTTGCTGCAGTCACGGAAGGAGCGGGATTAGGTCATTGGCATCGCGCAATCGCTTCCGGCAGGAAAGACCTAAAAATGCTCTATTTAACTCTTGTTGAGAAAGCACTACAACAATGATAACTTACGGGAGTGGTGCCATCACTTAGTCCAGAAAACAGCGAAGCGAACCAAGATAAAGCTGAACTATTGAAGAAATCAGCAGGCAAAGACACATAGTGACCGGGCTAGACGCTATCGTCAACAACATATCTGAGCTGATGTACGAAGCAAACCTGAGCGGGGGGAAAACCGGAAAGTCCATAGCTTGCTGGGTCCGGAGGTGTAGGGACTGCGCCTGCTGCTGTCTTAGGCAAAGGTAGCATACTACTGACAGGGTTCACCAAAGAGGGAGCAACTGCAGTTGATGCAGCAGCAGCAGCTTTCTTACCTCGACGAAGAGCCGTTTGCTAGAAAGCGAATCATAGCTACACCATGCTCGAAGTGAGGCAAAACAGCATAAACTCTAGAAAAGCCCTTACACAAACCAAAGATAATCATACCTTAGTAGAGGCTGTAGGGGTTGCTGGTGGTGGAGGGGGGACTGGTGGACTTCCCTTATCACCCTGTGGAGTAGTTCTTCCCACAACACCTCGTGGAGGCTGACACCGCCGTGATCGAGCATCATTCCCACGATACTGACAAAGCCATTTCTTGCAGCCTCCAATACACATGTTACTCCATCCTTAACAATTCCACTAGCAATACGAAAGGTACGAAACGAACAACAACAAAAAACTTACCTTTAATTCGATCTTGGGGTCAGCTCCACATTTGAAAAGATGCTTGACAATGTCCTTATGCCCAGCAGAGCAAGCTAGGGACAGCGCCGTGGCATCACCATTTAAAAACGATAGTTGACCTTCAAGAATGCAAACACTGTTGCAAAATCAGACCTACTATAGACGGAAACTTACATCTACTCCCTTTGTGACAAGAAACTCCACAATTTCGGTAAACCCGTTTTTTGCTGCCTTCATCCAAGCCATCAAAGACTCCTGAAATCAGAAAACCTTAGAACTTTTTCACCGGAAAAAACTGAACTCACCTTGAACTCGCTGTTCATATCACAAAAACAGCCAAAAACAGCCCAGCAACTCCGACAGCTGCAAGCATACGCACACATAGAACACAGACTTCAAAAACAACGAAAGTAGAACGACACAGACGATGGAAACAGTGTTTGCGGCAAAACGAGCAAGCGATCAAAATTTCGCTCAGAGCAACGCGGATATGGCGGCGGGGCGCGATATCTAACATGACGAATTTCGGAAAAAAGGGTCAAAAAACGACGGACAAGGGGTGATATGAAACTGTTTCTATACACAGGGATAGATTTTTGAGCGGCGCATCCGTCCATGCTGGAAAGGTCCGAAACTTATGTGAAGTGACGAAAATATATGCTCCAGACGATCTCAGATCGTCTGGTGGCCGTCTGGAGACGATCTAATTTTGGAAAAGGTATTACTTCACATAAGTTTTCAAATATTTTTACATAGTTCTTCCGCAAATAATTTTCTATACATACGATGCAATTTTGGTATCATATGGTTCTGTGTCCGCTGTAAACAAGCGATTTGTTTATTTTGGCCTTGCTTTCAAATCGCGCGCACTTTTCGCCATACACGTAGAGCATGTTAATCGTGTGATAACCTGCCGGAAAGTTTGTGTTCGGTCTGGATGGTCGTTTATCTTTGACATAGCGGAGAAATTGAAGAAATTATCATAACTTGTAATAACTGGCTAAGGGTACTTACGTTTTTGATGAATTTCAGTCATCATAGCTGTTGACATTATTGAATGTAATCTAAAACTAGTTGTAATAATTATGCCCTCTTCCCTTTCGTTTTGCTCCAAACTTGGTCATGTCAGTATCATGGAAAGTCTTCCCTAAATGGCACGCTGTATCGATATCCGTCCATTACGATCCACTTTGTCGGTGAGTTTAGCTACATTCTTCCATACATGACTAGGATTTGTTTCAGCATATTTGTTATTCGTTGTTGTTTGCGCGAGTCGTCGAGAAGCTGTCTGCTGATGTTCGTGATTGGGAAAGGTTTTTTTGGAGGAGGAATATAAGTTTCAAAGCGTTTCTTTTGCGCAAGTTTTTGGCTGCACCGGCATATACTTCGGCTTCTTTGATGATGAAGATGTACCAAGCACGCTAGAAAATGTACGAATTGTTGATGTGGAGAACGAAAGCTGACTTCTGTTCAAACTCCAATGCTCCCGTCGCGAGCGGTTCTTTTGCGCAAGGTCAGCTGACAACCTCGCATTCACTTGACGATTCTGTCTTCACAGCAGACGAAAAGATTAACGAATCCGGAACTCAGACTTCTAGTTCGATTAGTAAATCCACATTCACTACACAAGGATAACAGCGGAATCATTCGGAAAAATTTGCAAACCAGAGATTCTCTGTTTTGCTAATTTTATTTATTACTATTTGAATTAGTATTCAAAAGTATTAGTATTAGTATTAGTAATTGGTATTTAAAAGCTCAAGTTAGTATTTAAAAGCTCAAAAATGAGCTTTTAAATACCAGCCGCACGCAAGTTGACAAAGTAATCATGCTCAGAATGCAAATATGAGCTCCATCCTCTAAAAATGAGCTTTTGATCAAATACCAGCCTGCACACGGCATGTGCAAATTTCCACCACATATCTCGGTAGAACAAGTGCAAAATTTTTTTTCGGGGCTCCGCCCCGGACCCCGCAAAAACGATATCCCCTTTGCTTTTTGCTCCAAAAACGAAGTCCAGCTTGCTTCCAGACGATCTGTGCCGGGCCCTGGGTGCGACTGCGGGCGGGAAAGCCAATGTCATCCGTCCTCGGCAGAGATCAAAGACTGGTCGCCGATTTTGGGCATGGACTCCGAGACAAAGCTCTCTTCAATCTGAGAAGAACTGCATTACTTCTAGACGCTACAGCTCGGCATCCTTGCACATGAAATTACCGTCTAACAACACAACATTACCAAGGAGCAGATGTGCATCGGAGTACCAAAGAGGATATCAAATGCATACGTTTTTATTCTAGTCGATATGCGATACATTTTCAATAGTGGCAAACCACGCGTGCAAGTTTCAGTGTAAGCATAAATATCCTGCACTTACTGATTGCATAAACTTTCGCGCCAATGGTGTAGTTGCACACATGCTATACTTCACAGAAAAAAAACAGCGCTCTTGCTTTACTTCGTTAATAGCGGTATCTGCGAAAAGGAGCATGCTCATAGGCTCAGGAAAAAATTTTGGAAATCTATGGTATCCCAGGCTGGATTTGGTAATAGGTAAACGGTAGAAAAAAAACTGGTTCGATTAGAAAACAAAGATGTAGATTTATTTTAAAATGTATAGTGTTTACATAGGACATCAAAACTTACAAAATGCCACGAGTGTCATAAATAAGCTTTTACCCGGGTACCGCTAGCTTCTGAGGCAGTGAAAAATGTTGTGTTAGCGTGGATCAGTATATAAGGGAATCCAAAGATACCTACAGCTGGTGCTCATGTACGACTTGGATCTTTCGTGCTCCTATGACGTACTTTGTAGCTAATAAGGAAAGTTACCTAATAAGCTCGGCCTCTTGGCAAGGGACATATATAATATTCTGAATGAGCTTCAAACGCTGATTCCAAGTAAGTTATTCCAAGCTGCCGAGCACTATTCCGAACGGAGTTATGGGCTTTTCTCTGCGCAAAATTGGGGTACTGCTGAACATGGGAAGACTGCTTGTAGATAAAAATCTGCGAGAAAAAGGTGCTGAGATATCGAAATAACACAAGTCCAATTATTTCTTACTAAGCTTAGCGCAGGTGTATTAGCACTTAGATGATGATGCAGTAATGCCAGTGAGTCGATGAGTATGCCAATTTTGTGCAGGAAAATACCCATAACTCACTTCCGAATGGTGCTCGGCAGCTAGAAACAGCTTTTTTGGAAAACATTTGAAGCTGTACCTTGCTAAGTTAGGTAGCTTCCCTTGTAAATTCCAAGTGACTTGGTCAAAAGGCCTATATTGCTCGTTGACTTTTCATTTCACGCTTCTGGTTTTCCGAACAACAACTATCACAAGTTACGACCACTGTTCATGTCTCTGAGTTGCCGTTATCGCTCTCGACACTATGCTTGTTCCCACAAGCACCGCTTTTGGAAAATCGGCTACATAATACATGTTACGCTTACGTTTCCAGCATGCTATAACCTAGCAGGAGATTTCTTTCTTTTCGCTTGATGTTATAGGTAAGTTTTGTCGCATTAATTACTGCCTCTGTCCATCTTATCACATACATGGACCAAAGGACACCTGCGACCAACCTCCTAATGAGCGCATGAAAACGTTGAAAAGCTGTCTCTGTCGGTTCAACAAAACAGAACTTTTTTGCGTATAAGGTATTTTTTGGAACAAGTCTACTCGTTATGAAAGTTTATATAGACAAGCATATTCATGAGAGTTTATATGGACAAAATTCAGCAACGTGTGAAAATATCTCAGGCAGTGATCATTGAGTCAATCATCAAAGAAGAACAGCTAAGAACTACCCATTAACAGAATTACAAATTAATAAAAATTCACAATCACAAGAACATTCCTTAAACGGCTAATCACACAGACATACTCAAACAGCTACTGTGGCTTGAAGTTGAAGCAGTTTGGAAGTGATATGTTGGGGGAATTTATAATTGACAGTTGCAGTGTACACTACGATGGCTTTGACCTATAATTACAAAAATCAGTAGTCAGTAAACTATTAGACTACTAGACTTAGTAGACTATTGATCGAGAGAATGCATGACAGATGTCAACGACACTAGTCCAAAAAAACTGCATTGCCGTAATCGAGATACTAGCGAGTACTATAAACAATAGATCAAAAATCAGTTACACAAAGTCCTACCTGCTTTATGTATTTAAGGGGAGGACTAGTGGACGAGTGGATTGCATCTACCATGCATCGCATCAGGTGCAAGCATAGATCCGGGATAACTTCACGAACCTAAAAAGCCCACATTCAGTGAAGTTCCCTTTCGTGTGGATGATGAAATCTGACCTTTTGTGGAACTAAATGGAATTCTCCAACTATCACTGGTACCTGATCCATATCGAAAGGTATCAGTCGTAACTGTTGCGACACGCTAAGATAAAGGATTTTGTAAAAAAAAACAACTTTGTATCTACCAGATAAACTCACCTCAACGCCTTATCCGGTTGATTAGCTTCGCACAGATCAATCAACGTACCGACGTCTAGCAGTATACATAGCGTTGAGAGAACGCTTGCTTGGAGGTTGCTTTGAGCTGAAGTGATCAATTAGGTCAAAGAAATACTTCTTTTGAGATCGAAAATGTTGGTAAAGACAAAGCAAACTGTTGCACTTGGATAAAGAATGGAAAAGAAAGTCAACATGCCCTAACATTCTTGAAGAAGAAATTCCTAGAGCCTGATATGATGTGATTATTTTGCAGTACACAAGAACTAGACGACAGCAGTTCTGCACGAAAACTCATACCAACAAATATGCAATGTTTTCTCGACTGAAAGCCGGTAGCAGTGTCCTCAAAGCTTGCAAAGTTGCCCTCAGATATCTGTGACGCAATTATGATATCTAACGCAAGCCATCCGCTCAATCGTGTGTAAAAAGCTATATAGAGAGTATCTTTTTATTGTATCTGCGCATTTGTTGCATACGATAAATGAAAGATACCTGACACGAAATCTTCTGCTAAGCGACGAAGTTCTGCCATCCTGGTCCGATTCACTCTAAAACTCATCACATCATTCTGCTAAAAGTTGGTAAGGTCGGATACTGGAAGGCACTGAAAGAATCTACGTTTGGGAATGGTAAAAATTGCCTACCTTATCGCATCACTGAGTTCAGAGCATAAAAGTTCAATGGCTTTCAGAGGGGTATTCGCAAGTATGTACAGCCTAACAGCCTGCGTTGTGTCTCCTCCAAGCTCGGTGTCATGCGCGACTCGACAGATGATATCAGAGGGGTCTTCCAAATACCTAAACACAATTTTCAGCCACACACAATTACGAGTATGCTTATAACTCACTCATCGATTAGTGCAGGGGAACGTTTGCCATCTGGTCCAAGTGATCCGATAATCTCGTCAGCCTTTCCGGTTAGATAGATAGCTCTACTTACCGCCATCTCAAAAACGTCGCTACCAGAAGGCGTTTGCAAACCCTGAAACAGGTAACATAGAATCTGAAAATTTTTGAGGATATGCTACCTTCAACAATGACCAATAATCCAAAGCTCTTGCGACATCATCCAATTCAAATTCTTTGGTGTAAGAGACAAGCAGACGCGCAATATTGCATGAGCATTTCGTCATCTGCGTGGAATCCACAACCACTAAAATGCGAAAATGCTTCACTCTTGAAGCGGATTCATCATAACTAACGAGTGTCAGCAGCTGCGTTGGCAGTGTTTCGCAGATATCCCAGTTCGTAAGCAAGAATGGCAACATGAACTGCGTCAGACACATGATTGCAATCAAAAAGAAGCTGAACTATCTAGTTTAGAATTTGCAAAAATTTCAGCAGGGTTCCAGTTGACGCTCACTTTAATAGCTCGTTCGAATTGGCCAGAAAGCCACAAAGCGGTGAAATAGTAATGAAACTCGGCTTTTCCACCAGACATGAAATATGACTCTCCTAAAAATGAAATTTTTTTTCAAAAGATAGCTATAACACGGAACATACCATAGTCGATAGAAACATTCTTCTGCACTTCTGAGTAGAGAATAGGGGACATGTGGGGATCTACTTTCAGGGCAAACAGCTTGAACCACAGCCAGTTCTCAAGCGAATCCGACAACGTAGAATCTTGAAATCTTAGACCATGAAAAATTTCCATTCAGTATTGTCACAGAAAATTGTATACCTAGGCCTAACAGCGCAGCATATAGGCCTCGTTTGTATTTGTCCTTTGCGGAATTTAGATTATGCCTCCACTCTACTTTCAGCTTTTTCTTTAGCTCCACATCCAACCTAAAGGCCTGTTACAGGGCTGAATACTTCACCATAGCCATGCATCTTACTTAGCTTCCTTGTTGAGATGGTTGAGACAAGATACGAGAACTGCTGATTGGGGAAAGTTAGCCAATAATTCCAGAGCATCCTTTGCCGCAGCCAAATCGCCGGCGCGCAAGCAGTGGTAAGTTACCTACAAAGTAATACGAGCATGACAAATCTTATCAGTGGTTATATATTACCTCCCAGACGGGTAACCCCTCCACTGTTCCATCTTCTGCGAAAGGATCATCGGCGCCGATCTGAAGATACACTCAAGTATGTGATAAGCTTCGACAAGCGGGCGAAAATTACTTTCAAATAGGCTTCGACAAGTCCGCGGATTCCTGGCACGCCACCTCGTTGTGCTCGCTCAAGATTCCTTTCCACTTGTGCGTCCATATGTTCAATAAATCTTAACGACGCAATGGAATTACAAAACAATGACCGAGGACACGAACGACTCACAGATGTTGAAGATAAAGGCAAGCCTTTTCTATAAGCAGGTTGACGGTAGTAGGATCATCACGATCAGCTGGTATCTAAAATATAATTTGTAGAAATGGGTAGCAAAAAAGGTTGCATCACCAAAAAGAGACCTTTTGATCCATTAATGCAGTTACTTCAGCCCAGACACCAGCCAAAGCTCCATCGGTTCCGCTTTCTTTCGCTGCATCAGCAAAAAGCCTGTTCAGATCCTTCTAAAACCAAAAGTTCATGAGCTTCGTTGAATTTAGGGTCAAACGCTTTGACAATCACCTTCTTTTTACTGCGCAGGTACTTCCGTATCTTATCAGCAAACACTAAATCTCTCCTAGATGAAGATGTTGGTAGAACTGCGGGATATCTCGATGCTGGGGTCGCCTACAATAAGTGTCAAACTCAATCATAGTTCTGTCTTGGAGATTTACTACAAGTTTAACTAGTACTGTTACACCTATGGAGAAACGAAGCTATATCGTGAAAAACTGACTTTGGAAAGTTGTTTGACAGGAATCGTTGCGCTCGGTTGAGGCCTTGAAAGAAGTACATGGTTGAAAAAAGCCCGGTCAGACTCCAGTCTGACACGTTCCAAGTCTTCGTCTGCCTGAAAACTAGAAGTTATGATAGAAAGATGCTGACATGGACCTACCTCCTGATCTTCAGCAGGTTTAGGAACGACACGAGCTTCCTTTAGTGTGGGAGCTGTCACTCCAAAAACAACACCCTTTTCGCCAAAGAGAAAGCTTTTCTGAATCAAGTAAACTTCAAAAGTGTTTGCAGATATACAAAACAAATCCAATAATGACCTGAATTGGAGCTGAGGCACCAGTCTTCCACAGATGTTCACTTGCTCGAAAAACACTATTGAGATCAGTGTCAAAAGCTGTACCGCTATAGCGATTTTCCTAAAAAAAATTTTCAAACGATAATGCGCGAGTCAACAAGTCTATAAACCTACTTGACTTGCGTTTCCTTCGATAAGAGCATTATTGGCCTTTTTGGTCGTTGATGGATCTGCTAAAGTAGCATGAAAATTGGCGGATGATAATTTTTCAGCTCTGCTCAAGATGTCATCAAACATCGATGCCATTTTATACCTAAACAAGTGGCAGTGAGAGACATCATAGAAGTAAAAAGATACACTCGAAGAACAGAACAGTGAAACAAGTATTGGTTGTCCCAAAAGTAAATCATATTTTTGAATGAATCAAGCAATCTAGGTAAAGTTTGAGCCAAAATTGAAAAAAAATAACAGCTAAAAATTGGATTTTTGCGAAAAATCCCTCAGACCTTCAACTAGTCATTGTAGAGCGGACATATAGATGTACACAAATATGCCTTCACTAAATTTTTTCCGAGATAGAAAGCGGGAAAAAAAAGAGTTCAAAAATGGGAGGCTCTGCCCCCTCCCCTCCCACAAACGTCATTATATACTACAAGTCTTAGTAAGTATGTCCTCAGAATTTCACCTCTGCAAGCGCTGTGGTAACAGGGCTCGGCACGAGCTCGCACCAGGGAATTTTCAAAACGAAGTCCCCCTTGTAGCTAACTTTTACGAAGTCCCCCTTGACCCTAAACCCTAAACCTAAAAAAAATGAAACGTCGACTTAAAAAAAACATCGCAATTTGTCGACAAAAACGATATCCCCTTTGCTTTTTGTCCCAAAAACGATATCCCCTTTGCTTTTTGTCCCAAAAACGATATCCAGTTTGCCCTGTGCTGGTGCGAGGCCCTGCCTGGTAATTGAGAAATATTGAGTTTAATATAAAAACCCCGAAAAAGTGTTTTAAATTTTTGCAGTCTTTGCATGTTCGGAGTATTTGATTTGTCAACTGTCAATTTTGAGCCCCCAAAAAATACATCAAATACATTTCTGTTACTCTTATGTGTCTACAATATAAGAAAGGACCAAATTGAAGGACGTAGAAATTTTCTGGAAGGAGATCCGATTTTAGAATAGCTGAAAATTATAGGTTTTTGGCACCATATTTCAACTGGATTACAAATTAGGCGGATCTTTGGTGGTAGTTTTGTAGAGCTTGCTTTTTCTCGAATACCTCGAGTTTGCTAGAAAAAGAAAAACCATTCGATTTATTTAGAAGAACGGTTTACTTTTGAGAAAACCTAATAAAAATCAGCACTTCGGCAGAGAGGCATTATTTGGTTGCCAAGATCAGCTGAGCGTGGAACTAGCCATGTTCTCGATTATTTGAAGAACGGTATTACAAAAACAGGGAGGCAACTGAGGTGGCACTAAAAGAGTTCATTGTTAAACGGTAGGCTGTCAGGTCCATAGTAGGCGCATAAATGTGTATATAAGCTGAGTGGCCAATTCTCACGCGCAAATGGGGTTTGCACTGCAAATGCACTAATTACTGCCAATAACGAACTATAAATGCGTGAAAGCGACTACTAACGCGGAGAAAAATCCTCGACATTCCTAGAACCATGCACTAAGAATGACAAGAAAGCTACAAATCAGAGGACTAGCAAGCAGGTCGTCAAATCACGTTACTTCTTCCTTGTCATTGAACAACGTTTTGTCTCTGACGTATTCTTGCATGCCACAGAAATGGTCTACAGAGCCAAAATGATCAAAATTCGTATCTCAAAAAAAAGAAGATAGTTCGAAAAGATGTTAAATTAGGCAGACACGGGATTATGATGAATCTATACTCAGTTTTTCAACAAATATGCTCCTCGTAGCGAAACAGTCAGAAAGAACTAGTTTGATTTATTCAAATGTATGAAGCTGAAAATAAATAATTGTACAAATCAATCCGACAACAGGAACCACAGGAACAAAACTGCAATGACAACAACATATACACGAGTAAAATTTTTCAATTTGAATAACGTTTTCTCCAAGAAAACCCATTTAGCGTTGTAGCGCGCCAGCGAGTAACGCAGCGACCTTTAATAGCTTTGCTTTTGCGGAGAAATCGACGGAAATACCTGTGTGTCCTCCTTTTCTCTTTGAATTGATGTGGGAGGTTCATTGCTGCAGTCAATCACGTCTAGTTCATTTCATCAGTTCAATTTGCATGATATTGTACAAAAAACATGTCTGTTTTGCTGACATTTTTGCGTTCAGTCAAAATATTCATTGAACTTTGTTTTGTACCGTGCTTTTTTGTTTTTGTTGAATAGCATCTAAAGTATACCATGCACCATCACCTATAGGCGATGGCGCATGGTCATTTGTGTTTCCGTTTCAGATTTGTTTTTCAATCTATTGATTTAACCTCGGAAGCTTCAACAGCAAATTATCGCTGTCAGCTTTAAAATCGCTTGAACGACACACTATCAGATCTTTTCGATTCCTCCTTTTAGTTTTCGAACGATTTTGTTTGCCCTTCTTTCATCTTTATCTTCACACATTTATTTCCTTTTCATGCATGAATCATAGTATTTCGCTCCTGCGGATGTGGTAAAGCTCTGGGTAGCTATTGGACGATTATTCAAGCGTTCTTTTTACCAAATCATCACATGAAATCTAGCAATACTTTTATATTAGGTTGTCCCGAAAGTTTTGTCCGTTTTTTCAGCTTATCATAAAAACGCGTGGAACGAAGATAGGGAAACGGTCTAAGCACTATCCGACGCATCTTTTCCTTCTCTTTCTAACTATCAAGCCCACATGCCGATTACTCTTTTGCTCACTGAGATAAACGCCGAAATTTCAAACCCACGGTTTTTACTATGTCCAAGTTTGGCAATTTTTCACAATCTTTATTTTTGACTTTCGGAAAAGCTTTGGTAACAGTTAGATAGAGCAAACAAAGGGCAATATAATGCAATTTTGCGGCATCTATAGCCAGCCTTGAAAATTTTTTAGAATTATTTTTCTGATGCTATTAAATTCCACTTTTGGTGATGCCAAAAGCAGAGGTCATAAAACGGCGCACAACTAAGATGTTGTTCGATGCAGCTTTTCATTCTCTTCCCAGTGAGTGTATTTTCTCTCTAATTTGCGGGGTCTTTGGCGATACAATTTTCACAATTCTTGAATTTGACCCCACCCCAGCGTGTACACGTAAAATGCAGAATCTTATATTTCGAAGCGGTAAACACTCATTTGCTTCATAAAAATAGTGAAAAATCGTAATCTGTTTTTGAAAGCTTCAAAATCAGATGATTTGTTAGTGTTCGAGGCGTTTCTGTATTTTAGAACTTCGCAAAAGTGAAGACTTTTGAAAAAATTATCTTTAAAAACATTGAAAAGCCAGCTAGATATGCCAAATAATTGTATTGCATTGCCCTTTGCTTACTCTATCTAAGAGCTATCAAAGTTCTTCCAAAAGTTGAAAATGAAGATTGTGAAAAATTGTCAAACTTGGACATAGTAAAAACCATGGGTTGAAATTTCGGCGTTTATCTCAGTGAGCAAAAGAGTAATCGGCATGTGGGCTTGACAGTTAGAAAGAGGAGGAAAAGATGCGTCGGCTAGTGCTTAGAGCGTTTCCCTATCTTTGTTCCACGTATTTTTATGATAGGTTGAAAGAACGGACAAAACTTTCGGGACAACCTAATATATGGATACAAACGAAGGTATCGTCAATATCTAGCCGACGAATTATATTCTGAAATGGTTTGTTTCTTGGCTGTAATATTCCGCATTTTGACTTTTACGATAAATGCTGATAGGCTAATAAGATACTTAATTTTGAATTGTTTTTATGGGAAAGTAAGCGCATCAATCTTTACTGCACATAATCCTGTTGGAGAATTCTGCTGCAAGCTCGTATCTTTTTTTAAATTCTTCCTAACCCATTAGCAAGGGAAAAGTGCTGAACCTGTCAAGCTTTCAAATCTTCACGATATTTAAGTGTAATGGTTACGTCGATAATGCCAAGTAATCCCATAACTCATTGTGATTTATAATGCTTTAGTGTACTTCTGAGAGCGGTACATCAATTTTTTCAAAAGATTGATATTGCTAGATTTTTTAGTATATTCCAGAGGAATTATCATAGCGGAGAATTTCGGAATTTTACACCAATCTGAAGCGCAGGGCTCTCAAAACGCCGGTGGCCGTCGCGTCTTGTTCCGGGCCCTCGCACCTCGTCCGGCTGCAAGCCGTCATTTTACGGTGTGCGGCGCTTCCATCGATCGCCTGCTTAGTAATCGAGCAGATGTTACGCTTTGTTTTTGCATATCGCCAGATAATGATCGTCTTTCTTTGCTTGCCACTTTTTCTTTGTCGTTATCTTTCAGCATTGTTGCTCGTTAAGCTTTTTGATGTTATCATCTTACACTTTTCCTCTTTTCCCGTGAGCTATTCCGCCTTCTAATACCCTTCTCTGCTCCGAAACGCTCGATTTTTCTAGATCTTAACTCCATGAGGAAGTTTTCGGGAGCTCTTGATAAAGTTATCGAGTTATCTGTTTATTATTTGTAAGAGGTAAGGATGCCATTAATTGAACTTTCTGCTCTCTTTTCTTCTTCCGTAACTTATCGTCTCTCAATATCCTTCGCTGTTCCGAGATGCTCGTTTCCAGATCCATTTCCGTGGAAAATCTTTCGAGAGTTGCTTGAGATATCGAAAGTTATTAGAGATCGTGAGAGTTGAAATCGTACGGGTAACATTTCCCACTTCGCCTTTTTTTCTTGATTGGTCTCCGCCCAAATTCCTTTCCAGTATTCCAGCTGGTTAAATTTCTGATCTCGTTTTTTTGAGAATCGCAACTATTTAGAAGTGATTTTGTTTTTGATCTAGTATTGCGTTCATCGGTTGAGTTGGTAAGCATAATAACGGTATTTCAATTTTCTATCATTTTGGACTATTCGATTATTCTGGATTCGCAATGAATATATAAAAAACTTAATTTAAAACAGGTTCAACGAGTCTAATCTATCGAAACCAGTCATAATTTTGAAAATCGTTATGTTCATATTACATCGAAACTAGACGCAATTCTTCTCTAATGCAAAGTAGAATAAGAAAATTTCTCCCCGTCCCCGATGTACGCGTTTTGCGCATCTCTTGCAATTCTTCGCAAGTGAACATTCTTTTCTTATGACGCATCCACTCCACTCATCTTTTCTTTTCCGCATTGTAGTGCTTCACGCCGTTCCGTTCTTCATGTGCCCGAGATATTGATTTGCATATGAATTTACGCATCACTGAAGTCTGGAAGGTTTTCTTTCGTCGTTTCCTTTGTAAACATGGCCAAAATTTTTGGTGCCATCAAATTTATGGCCATTTTTTCGTTCACAATCTTGTTAGGTCGTAAAATAGGATTTGTTACACTTTCTTTTTCTTCCTTTCTAAGACTAAGATCATATCTGGAGTGGAGCAAGTATGTAGTGGCACTTCGTTTCCTTTTTTTCTCCTACAAAGATTTTCCATCGTTTTCTGTCTTTTTAGATTTTTTATGGATTTCCTCTAGAAACGGAGCTAATACAAAGGCAGTTAGGAAGTTTGACTCTGTACCGTATTGCCAATGTTGAAAGTATTCGGAAAAATGTGCAAAAATCAAGAAAGTTCTTGTGTTACAAGTGTATGAAAGCTACAATTCTCTACATAATCCAAATTAGGGAAGATATTCCAAGAGTGTTACAATAATTTTTTTCTCCAGATGTAACAGAACCCGTAGAACGACCTAATATTTTAGAGATGATTTGCAATTATGTTATAACATTACATATTCGCCTCACCGGGAGCGTGCATATCCTAGTGTAATCTGACACTCTCGCTTCCATTCTCAATCCTAAGTGATTGGAAACCGCAGCGATATTGGAATTTTTTTTTGTTAAATGTACTATTCGGTACTGTTACACCAAGCGTTATATCTAAAAAGACCTATTTCTTAGGTTTTTAGTGAATTTTTGCTGTTACTGTTGGTTTTCGCGACTATATGTGAGTTCCTGCTTTTGCTTTAGTCTTACCTCAACCGGTTTTCATCGTTCCATCTCTTTTATCCTCTCTGACATATCGGAAGTATTTCATCTTTTTATCAAACGGGAAATTCGATCATTTTGAATTCGCAGCGACTATGTAAACTCATCAAAATTTGTTTAGCCATTTTATTCTACAAACCGGTTACGATTTCGATATTATGATATGTTTCGGAATTTTCAAACCTAACTATACGCCTTCTTCGTTGATTTACTTCGGAACTACTGACGGACAACTTTTCGTTGAATATCGTATGTCTGTTTTTTTGCACTTAGCCACTACTTTTGTGCTCGTAGGTGCCCAAGCAACTCGTAACGGATCAGGTTTTCACAGAGAAATGTTGAGCCATTACGTGCACTCCTGCTAATGTACAAAGTCTGAATACGGTCGTAAAATTTAGCATTCAGCGTATTTTACGGCGCACTCAAACATATTTTGTACTTCGCACAGTGAACACTTGAACCGAACTCCAAATAGTTCCTGCGTCAATACTTGAACATTGTACAAATAGATGCATTCGTTCGGTCCCACTATGCTTTTTTGAGTTCTATCTAAATATATAGGTAGATTTATATCTACATCGTTTTATTCATTACATATCGAGTGGTGTAAAAGATCCTTCGTGAAATCTATTCACCAATATTTCTTAACGTTATGTTCGCCTGTTCTCTTTTTTTCTCAATGTAACCTTCTTGCCCTCATTTATCTTCTCGTATCCGATGACCTTTTTATAATTCGTAGCAATTGAGAGATCCATAGATCGATGATTTTAGAGATGTCAATCGCACGTCCCCCTGTCGGGGACCAAGTTGGAGGCACTGGCTCCACTTTTGGACTCGATGCGAGAAATCTAGAAATCAAGACTAAGTCCATAGAGCACACTCTAGTGCCACTAGTATCTCAGGTAGGTTTTTACATTGGTATTACAGTTTGATTTTCCAAATCAATTATGTTTTTCCGAATTATTATTTGGTGTTTCTCTATTTTTAACAGGACTTTTGTCGTGCTCGTTCTGTAGTCTTGGGGGCAACCTTTATTTTGGGTAATCTATATTCCTCGCTTGCTTTTTTTTCATTTAAGGGATGCAAACCTTTATCCCAGCTTTTGCATATTTGATTATTACTGTCTAGATTGTTAGCTCCAGTTGAATATCTACCGGGGAAACCCAATCACAACATCTAATTGTTGCACAGTTATGAAGAAGTAAATCATTCTCCGATAGAGTTCATAAAGGAGATGGGTTGTCGATGTTGCTAAATGCCATTGCACTTTTGTGTGGTTTCTGTTTTATCGTGAGGCAGATCAATTTGAGTGGTGATGTGAACAAAAACTTTTTTAAATTTTGTCACAGCCCTTTTGATCAAAATCCATAACTTCTTTTTACAATCCTTCCGCGCACTGCTCAGCGCGCTGGGTTGTCCGTAGATAGCACTTAGCAGTCATTATCTTCGAAAAGGGAGCTTTCTTATAGCCATATTAGTCATGCCTGAACGCGTCTGTCCTTTCGCTTATGAACTTTTTCCATGAATAGCTGAGGTTCCTGCGTTCGAGTTGTTGTACGATCAAGAAAACATTGAATTGGAAATAGAAGAAGTGTTCTTGTATTTACCGAGTTCAGCTAGAAAAAGCAATTTCCAGCTCAGTTCTTCAGCGGCACTATTTCTGATGTCAGGCACGTCAGAGACAGCAGTCCATAATGGTGTATTGGGCGCAGACAATTTGCTCAAATTACCCCAAAATTGGGGTTGCAAAAAATATCATTCTTTGAACTTGTGAACAGTGACCGGTAAAATGTTCCAAAGTTATTACGCGTGGCCCAAGTTTCTTTCGCTCTTGGTACTGGTTCCGGAAGCCTGACATCGAAAGTAATGTTAGGCAAATTTGATGAGGGGTCTGTATTTTCATTCTAGGTGCAGATATATTCAGACCGAGTTAAGATTTGTATAGAAAGCTATCAGAAGGAAAAAGTGAAGTTTCATTGAATGTGTCTTAACTCATTCTTTATATTATCTGCGATATCCGATTTCCTGAATTACTTGGAAAAAATGCTTTGAATGAGGAGAACGTGGATATATAATATAAATTCTGTGCCAATAGTGATATTTTCCGAGTGGAACTTCAAGCACATGTTAGCTATACCCGGTCCCTCAGCCAGTGAACTGGAAAACTCTATGTTCTGTCCACGTTCGTATGTTCGTTTTCTGGAAATGCAAAGCTTGCTGGCTGTAGGAGATTTTGTTAGGTGGGTGTCCTATGGGCACAGTGCGTGGGCTATGCTCCACTTCTAAGTTCTGCAGTTACTGCCTGAAATATTTAACTTCTGAAACTTTCAAGACTAAGCTGCTGTTCGAAACCTGTGCCGTTGCTACTTGAATAGTATGTTCCAAGAGTTTCATTTTGTCTTGGTCGAGTGGTTGAATTTATTTTGAAAGCTTCGGCTTTTTCTCGATCCCGTACCAGCCAAGTACACTTGAAACCTCTTGTGAAGTAGGGAATGGTTGGCCTCTGAAGATAATATAACAGATCTCCATTGGGAACATGACGTGGTGTAGGCTGATATCTTGAATTCTTGAATTGTCAGCAACTTGCAAGAATTCAAGAGATCAATCTACAGTGGTGCTACAAAGTTCAGCTTCATGACTTGGTCTATATTTTGTATGTTTAGCATATAAGTGGACATTTCAGATCACTACCCTTGTCAACTTCAAAGAATCTTATCTTATGAATGGCAAACCGAAATCTGAGAGAGCTATCCGAGCTGCGCTAAAGGTAGTTTTTGTTCAAACGGTTATAGTTGGTAATTGCAACCTGTTATCTAGGTGGGTAGCGCCGTGGAAGCAGCTATAGAACGCTTCGTAGCCGTTGGAGAAACTATAGCAGATGAAAATCCAGATATCCAACCGGAAATGTATGATGCCTGTCATGAAGCTCGTTTAGCAGGTTTGCTTTCTACTTTTCTGTTCTGTATTGATTTTTCTTTCTTAGAACACTATTATGTAGCTTAAAAGTTGGTCTGGGATTATGATCTCAATTATTTCATCTAGGAGCTTCCATAGCTAATCTGTCATGTTGTTCAACGGACATTCCTGATGCACCTCTTCTTGACAAAAGTGTGCTGGTCCGCGCCAGCCGGCAACTTTTGAGTAGCGTGACGCGAGTACTTCTTCTGGCTGATAGAGTTCTAGTGAAGCAGATTTTACGTGCGGAAGATAAGGTTGTTCAATTTTCACTCGTATCCTTGGCACCAGTCAATTTTTACTTGATTCAGGTTGCTTATTCCCTATCACGGCTCGAAGTTTGCCGATCATTTACCGAGTTTGTGAAAATCTTTGCGGAGTTTGGTGGTGAAATGGTTGATCTGGCTCATAGATCAGGCGACAGGTGAGTGCATAGCATTTTGAGTTATTTTTTTATCTGCTTACTTGATCTAGCATTATAATTTTGTTGGAATTTGCTTAAGAACTTGTTTTTGCGTTTAAAGGCTATTTTTGTTGATTTTTCCCTGTTTCTGTGAATTTTTTTTCTGCGTTTGAGATAAGTTATGGCATATCAAAAATGTCATTCAGTAATGATTTTATGGTCTTTGACATGATTGCTTATTTCAAGGCAACACGATTTGAAAAGTGAAAAGCGGCGAGCGCAAATGGGTGTAGCTAGGACAGCTCTTGAAAGGCATACGATGTTATTGCTCACTTCTTCCAAGACACTTCTAAGACATCCTGAATCAGAATGCGCTCTGCAATGCAGAGATGGAGTGTTTGATCAAGTAAGTGCATAAATTCTCTATGGTTGTTTGCAGTTCGGATGATTTCTTTTGCAGATTCGCACAGCTTTGCAGCTTATTGCAATCTGCGTTAGCGATGGAGTCATTCCAGTAGATGCTAATCGCTTTGTACAAACGAGCAGTGAGGAGCCGTTAGATATTGGAATACAGCTTACTGCAAACGCTGCAATCAAGCAACTGACGGTAATTCTATGTACTTTCGAAAGAGGGCAATAAACTAGTTTCTTGAATAAAAACGTTCATTAGAATTTGCTGCGCCGCTCAGCCATAATTTTTCAAAATTAGTTTTGAAGTAGGCATTTATTTGCCTTTGAAGTGGCGGCAAAGGTGACTTTTGAGTTTTATGAGCTTATGAGGAGTCTAGAATTTTTCTGACAATGAGATGCAGCTTTACTTCACTATGGGATCTTTTATCTCTCAAAGGATCCTGTGATGTGGGGTTGAAAAATTTTCAAGTAGAATCGTCCATTTCTTTGCAAGTTCAGCATTAATTTTTTTTGTATGTTTCAAGCAATATTTGCCAGTATACTTTTTTTGTTTAGGAAATGCTGGAAATGGTTAGAATGACGTCAAGAGTAGGAGCTGGTGTGCGCGAGCGGCTGATTGGAGCTCTTGATGCTTTATGCGAAATGACCCAGGTAGACGATTCATTTCCTATTGTGTTTCATTTCCAATGGCACAAAAAACGCATTTAGGATTTCACCGATTCTGCCTATACACCGCATCACCATCGAGAGCAAATTCTAGATTTCTTGGAAGAATGTAGATTTGAGATGACCAATCTCATCCAGCCTGATGTGGGTGTTTTGGATGTTGCTTTTTTCATCTGCCCCTGTGGTTTTTACGGCTGAAATTTTTAGGATGACTCCTCTGATCAGCTGAGATCGGATAGCATTGAAGTAACCGTAGAACGTTTAAATAGGAGGTTGAAAGACTTAGGAAAGCAGCTGCAGATAGTTGCTATGGAACAGGTGCGTTTTCAGCTTGTGCATATGCGTCATGCTTTTGTAAAAAGAGCGCAATTTCAAGATATCCGAGGTGTTACGAGCAAATGAGGACCAAGTTTTACTGTCGTCAATAAAGGCTTGTGCAGTTGCTGGTGATATCGATGGAGTAGAAAGATATATGGAAAAATTTAGGGAACATGCTGAACATATGCAAGAGGTTAGCAGTCATTTCGAACTTCATGTCCAAATGAGTCAAATATCCCAAATTTGTTAGGTTTGCCGATTACTTCATCATATCTCACTGACTGATGCACTGCATGTCAATACTGGTCACTGTGAGCGTAATATGCGAGCATTGGCACCTTTGGTGAGTTCTGTTTTTTCTTTTTTTTTTCTTTTCTTTCTTTTCGGAAAGGTTGTGACCTAGTTCTAAGCTTAGAACGATAATTCCAGTGCCCATAATCTGCCTAGGGTGTTGTTGTGGAATTTGAGTGGAAGGTATTAATTGAGCCATGCTTAAACACCAGTTTCTATTGACCACTTGTGGTCATGTTAAACTCCTGCTCAGTACCGTACCTTGCCGGATGGACCAATACCGTATCCGGCGACGTTGATTGGTTCACTTGAAAAGGGTTCAGTATTGGGTGGGAATTTGAAATTGTTTTTGTCAGCCACATTATAAGGATGTGCTGGTGCTTGTAATGAAACGTGTGATCATATTGCTGAAAAAAAAACTGCAGATATCCGCTTGTCATTTTATTTGATTTAATTGCGAAATTCCATTCCAGACTTTGCTTGCTGGCCGCACGCTTTGTCAGCATCCATCAAGTCGGATAGCGCGGGAAAACTTGGAAGTCTTCTGTGATACGTGGAGTCAAACGGTAGAGTTTGTGTGCTTTTATAGCGTCTTCCCCAAAAATCATAGAATTGCAGGTAAATGATCTCTCTCGCCTGGCCAAGGAATCAGATTCCGCGGCTTGTGGACGAGTGGCTGCAGAAAAGCAGGCCTACATGTCACTTCCTCGTCCAGGGGTAAGCAGCACTGACTCATCATCCTCTATTCCACGGTTCAGAAGCGCACGTGAATTACCTCTTCGAATGTTGAATAGATCGTTCGAATCGCAAACAATAACACGTATGATTTGCGATTCGGATGATTCGGGTTCGAGTGCTTCCTTTGACAATCGTGAGAACCGTCGGCACAAGACCGGAATCATGACTCAAGGTGGTGACGAGCTCAGTTCAGCAGCTTCGGCCAATAGTGAGGATCGAAAGGCTTTCGAATATCGCATCAGTCTAATCCTTGACGATCTACATAACGTTTCCTTGCACGATAGAGTGGAGTGAAGTGTTTGCGGGTGTTATGGTGCTGCTTTTCTCTTCCAGCTGATGTTTGTAGTGCGTGCTGTGATATTTTCTCTACATTTAGACACTTCAGAGTTTCCTTTTTGCTTACGTCTATGCCTTCACTTACCACGAGTGCCTTTGTACCTATTCACTTTGAGAGAACTTTTTGCCATGTGTTTGCGGTGCTTAATCTGTTTGCATGAATATTTTGTGATGTGGTTATGGTTATAAAGTATTTTAAGTGAAGCATGTATTTGTCTTGCTAGTCCGATATAGCAAATGCTGAGGTTGGTGTTCTTCACGAAGGTAGTCAAACTACTTTTTTTCTGATTTTTGCTTTCCATCGGGATAGACTTTATTGACTAGTTTGCTTCAAGCTCTATCATATTAAGATCGAGTTACCGCATTGCATGTGTAGTACATAGTGTAATGTGCTAACGAAGCTGAATAAGCATCCCTACTTTAAGACATCCCTACCTCCAAGGGATAGACAAATTTTCTACGCCAGTGCTACAAACTAATGACAGTAGTATTTGATAACAATAGCTCTAATAGCGTTTGAATCGTCTCATGGTTTGTTTCATTTCCAGTTTTGCTCACTGATCGCCTATTCTCACAGTTTGAGCGATGATCAGCATACATAAACAAAATTTAAAAATATTGCTGTTTTCTTCGGCGCATCTTACAGCGGCTCCGTCATATTCGCAGGTTTAGAGATTTTACTGAAACTAATTTGCAAAGGTAATTTTCCTTGGAAATTTGGAGTGTGCCCGGACACGAAGCAACCAATGGCAAAGATCCAAATGAGCGCGCTACCATTGGTTGCCAATCAACTTTCAGTCAGAAGTCACACCAAATCTGAGTTGTAAGGCGACTGAGGTTATATTTAGCTCGCAAAGCAATCTTCAAGCTTTTCATTCAATGATGCCTGGAAATCATGAGGAGCCGAAAGTTGTGTACAATACTGCTCTCAGAATGTGCAAAATTTCCGTGAATGCCGCGGACCTCCGCTGTTTTCCCGGAATTCCGCGACATGAAAATTTTGCACATTCTATGACCGATATCGAATATGTGTGATGTTATCGCTTGCGAATATGCCTACCAGTGCATTTTGAAAGGAGACACATCAGTGCATTAGAATAGAGGGTGCACTAACACAGAGACATATACACAGATCTTACAGACTTTATTGCACAGCTATTTTTACGGAAGTTGGAGTAAAGTCGACAGAGACCGAGTGTGATTTTGTTGTGAATTACCTTTCAAAATACCCAAGAAATTTTCTGGCATTTGCGCTGGAAGGTGGAACAGCACACTATGAGCGATACTGGAAGGTTTTTTTTGCAAAATCACGCTTGTTTTTTCGAATTTGTTGAACTGGGCGTTGCAGATTTTCTTCGCTAAAGTCTCTGCTTTCACTCTTAACCTTGCGAAATCAATAGTAATGTTCAGTACTCGGTTAGTTCGCTGAATTAGATTCAAATCAAAAACATGTTGTAAATATCAAATGACATATAATGTAGAAAAAGGTGACTATTTGCAGTTTTGCATGTAGTTAATTTCATTTTAGACGCTATTCATTTGTGTCGTCAGCTCTCTCGAATGTTTTTTGAGAAGAAAGTGGGCTCACAGTAATGGCGTAACCCCTTAGAACAATACAATGTAATCCAGTATTAATGAAAAGCAAATCGGAGCTGCCAGTCCTTCAGCGGTATTTTGGTAACCATGAAAGATATCAAAGGGAATTATTGACAATGAAGCTTGTATGTCAACTTTGGGCCTGCTCAAAGCTCATGCTATTGTACATAGTGTAATGTGCTAACGAAACTGAATAAGCATCCCTACTTTAAGACATCCCTACCTCCAAGGGATAGACAAATCAATGGGCGTTATATATTTTTAGTAGTGTTTTTGAAGACACACCATGGTTTTGCAATGATTCGGGTTTTTATACAATTAGCAGAACTAGATTAGAATATTTACCGTGTCTGCGATGCTGGATCGTGAGCATCACTTCGAAAACCAAAGTTTAATAGTTACTTGCTGGATCGATTTTGTGATGTAGACGCCACTGGATCTGATGCTATTTTGATTGTTGTGGAGCAAAAGAACAAAATCGAACACGTTCACCTGAGGGTCACAGTCAGCCGAATTTTTCTCAACTTCATCAAATTCTTTCAGAAACATGGCACTACGTCAAAACCTTCGAAGCCGATCACGTTGGATATCGAGGTAAATAAATTTTGCAATTGTTTGGAGTAGCGCAAATTCTTTGGTCTAATGTTGCGTTTACACTTTTAATGTTGAGAATTGCTCGAAACTTTTTTTGGCCATAAGTGGCGTGGAAAAACGTAGCAGCTACTCAGGTTCAGCCACGCACCGAAGTTACATGGGAGTTGGTGAGAATGATAGTGCTTAGATCGCTTAACTAAATTCGCTGAAATGTCTGAGTTTGCGAGCCGAAAAAGTTGGCAAAAACTACTGCTGGGGCATCTTTCAGGATCAGCAGAAGATGGCGAAGGTAGGACTGGAAATGAAACTGTTGACGTCTGAAGTCGATGCTGAAGCGGAGAAATGGGACGAATATGCTGAAAATGATATAGTGAAGCGAGCAAAAGTAGAGAATTCTGGAGATTGTTTGTTTTGATTCTAAATTTCCTGTTTAGGCAATGTCGTCAATGGCGTATAATATGTACCTTTTCACTAGAGGTGACGGTCCCCTAAAGACCACCCATGATCTCTTTACCCAAGCTGAATTCTTTGCCGAACAAGCAAATAAAATGTACAGGACCGTTAGAGAGTTTAGTTATGAGGTAAGATTAGTCTCCTACACAAATCTGACATTTTTGTAAAGAAAAAGTTTAGGTCCCTGGATCGGCTGAAAAAAGCGAATTGTCCGCCATCTTGGAGAAGATTCCAGTCCATTGCCAACAACTGCAAGTGCTTGTGAAAAGTCCAACTGTAGGAAAATCGGCCACATTCGGGAAGGTTGGGTGGTTACTGAATTTCTAGGGCATTTTAATAGTTTCTGTTAAGGTCGATTCTGTCATTCAAGAAACCAAGAACCTAATGAATGAAATCGCGAAACTCGTGACCTCTTCATTTGTATGTGCGACAAAGGTAAAGTGGCTGAACTTCTTGTAACGTACTCTTTCTACAATTTTTTGCTAGTTTTCCAAGGTATAAATTTCAAAGACGTTTCAGTTCAATATGGTGGAAGAGTGAGTTGAAAGTGTTTTTATTTTTATGCTTCAGGTGTATTGCAAATTACTGGTGGTTCATTGTTAGTTGTGCAGTTTTTGGAATGGAAATATGAGTGTGATGTTGCAAGAACATCCATATCATGAAATTCTTTTGGTTCCATCACAAATTTGGCGTGACTTGAAGAACAAAATTTTCCGTTTTTTGTCATCCACTATCACTCCCCACAAAATCACTGATATGATAGTTAGCAACAGTGTATTGATGTAGTACGAGAGCATCGAGTTGTTCAAAAATTCTGCCAAAAAGGATTGAGATGTTTTCTTTCTATATCTTCATCAAAAGTGGCTGTCAAACAATATTTTGCCTATATACTGGCAAGTGGAGTACTGATCAGGCATATCATGGATTTTGCTCTCTCAAAGATGCGTTAGTTACATCGTACGCGTAGTACCTTGAAGGCACCGTCCACCCCAATTTGAGAGATTTTGATGTCATATAATGGAGGAGCCTCTACTAAGCCATCGCCCAAGTCTCGCTGCAAAAGATAATTTCTGAAGTATGAAAACCTCTTTAACACGTTGATGACGAGCCATTTTGAGGTCTGTCTCTGTGGACGAGACGTTTCCGTGCATCCCTACGTCTGTATGACCGCATGTATGTATGTATGCATCCATGCACGAAATATAAAATGTGCAAGCCCCGCTCCCATGTGGCAAGCTCCACGCAATCGGCCAAAAATGTTGGAAATTGCCCAAATTTCAAGAATTCATGCGAATTCCGCCGCTTTTGAAAAATGGGCGGAGCTTGCCACTTAGGGGGCGGAGTTTCCCCGACGGTGGGCGGAGCCTAGTCAAGAGTTTTGGTTTTGGCTTTGGCTCGAGGTTTTTGCGTTCATCTACGGGCCTCATCCATGCTTTTTATGGACAAAAAGGGTCCTTGTGAGAGGCATGGGAGTGGGCGGAATTTGCCAAAGGGGGCGGGGTAATTACATGAAGTACATCTGAGCCTTGTTGATTATGTGAATAAAAAATAAGAGGATTGGACAGATAGCATTGGAATTGAAGCGCACCATTGCGCGGTGTCGTCCACAGGGACAAACTGCCTGCCGCGCACCATTGCGCGGTACTGTCCGTCAAGGTGTTGAAAGATAGAAGCTCCACGTTTCCATCAATGTGGGTGGTCTGAAGATAATGTTCAAAATTCATCTTTAGGGGAGATATAAATGTTGAAAATCTGATGATCATAATTTAGGGCGGATATATGGCTCTAGATACTTTTAAGTCCAGTTTTGGGCTTTTTATCAACCAACATCAATGGGCGGAGCCAACGGGGAGCTTCTGCGTTTTGAAGCTGTTTTCTTCCTTCGGAGTTCGTCTTTTGCAACCAGACTTGGGTGATGGCTTAGTTAGGGAAGGGCCTCTCCATTATTTGACGTCAAAATCTCATTACCTTCATATTCGGCGACGGTGCCTTTGAATTTCAAAAGCTTGTTTGGAAGAAACCCCAGGTACCGGAACAAATGGTACAATATCGCTCGTAATTTGTGAAAAAAAAATCACCGCACTCCGGAGTTTGCTGAACGTCGCGTTGCATCGCCATATCCTGCTTAAGAATGAACGAACTCCGAATCCAAAAGCAACAATCAACTTAACTCGACGAGATGCTTACTTTGCTATGTAGCAAAACCAGTCAGTTGAATCTCAAATCTTTTTCGTTTTGCTTACGGTAGGTTGATCGCTGTGCATCGACTAAACAATGAGTAACCTACCGTGAGCAAGAATCTGAAAGGATCCGTAAAATTTGACCGATTAGCGCGCTCAAACAGAGACTTTTATGTATCGAAATGCACTCATCAAGCTGAGTTGAATGGTATTTTTGGATTCAGAATTCGTCCACTCTGAAGGAAGATATCGCGATGCAACGCGAAGTTCGACAGACTCTGGCGGAGTGCGGTGATCGTTTTTGCGGATTACGAGCATATTGTAGTTGGATGCCTTCGTATTTGACAATTACGAAGGATGTAGCACAATTCCTTGACCAAGCTTCTGCAAGTTCTGCGGGTCTGTGCTAAATCTGCCTTTCCACAACGCAGATTTGGCAGATTTGGCACCACCTTCATCTCCTTCTTTCGGGTACTATTGTCTAATTCTTAGCAAACCTTTTTAGCTGAATTGCGTATCCGGTACTATATTCTTAACCGGCTTAACCTTTTGTATCTTATTTTGGTCTTTATTAGAAGAATTGGCAGAACTTTCTGAACAACTCAATGGTACACCATCGTTCTCACTCCATCCCATTTTTCTATATCGTGCCCATCCATTTTTATGACAACAGGCATGAAAGACATTATCATGAAAGTGTGCTAAACATTCACGACATGTCACCCTCTCCCTCTCTCCTACACTCCATCCATAATCATATCCAAAAGTCTTTTGCCAACTCCACTTCCCTTTGATATGGTCAATCACAATCTATTGTAAAAAACAATGCCCAGCCGAGGTGATGGCGTGTTGTAGTTGTGAACGGTCTGACAAAAATGATTTCCTAATCAGGGCCAGCAAGTATAATTATCAACACTTCAGTACGAGATCGAATTCCGCGGCGGTTCGGTACCCAGGACGGTCGGGGACGGTGAACACCGGCAGTCACGAGAGTCAACTCTTTGGAGGCGCACGCCAAGCATTCGGCGAACAGCACCACCCCCTGGCACTTACCAACACCACTAGGTAAGTTTTTGTGACAATTCTTTTCTTTTTTCTTTGTAAGAGCACGCAAACTATAAACTAAAGCAATGCGAGCGCAGTGCAGTCGTTGCACGGCTGCACAGCCTCCGCAGTCATGTAGTCGCTGTAATTACTGCACTGACTTAGCAGTCTATCATCTTTAATAGTTCTTGTATATAAAGCTCAGTGTGTCTGTATCCTATGTGTATATATATGTCTGTCCGTCTGATTGTACGTCTGTCTATGTGTCTGAACGTGTACTTTGGAAGAGTTCCAATTCTGAGCGATATATACCGGACTTTCCCATAACCTCTTTAGGGTGAGTGGGAGCGCAGACAACTCTCGTTACCAGTACCACTTTATAGCTTTTCTTTTTAGCTCCGAAACACAGAGCTGGTACCGATGGAGGATACAAATAGCGTACATGTAGGGTCTCAGATGGCCTCTTTGCTTATCTGGGCTCGCCCGGCTTGGTGATGCTGGAATTACAGAGAGCGCAAAATGTCTTTCATCCATGTTCAACCTGAGGGCTTTTTTCGATGCCTCAAGCGGAACGTGGATTAGCGAACGCAGATTCCTCAAGATTGGAAGCTAAATTCGTTGTAGGACCCTATGATGTTGATTGTGACAATGTGCGCGCTGCTTTAAAAGAGCGAACTATGCTTCTAATCTTCCCACTCTTTTTTGAAAAAAAAATCACCTATGAGCTTTAACATGTATAGTTTGCGTGTTCATTGAAACTGAATTACATTATTTGGTACTACTTATGACGTTAGTACTTCCATATGTGGCATCATGGAATGTCTGTTTTATTATTGTTTATGTGTTCAGCGTTGCTCTACGCATTTAAGAATGAGAGTAATTGACATGATTAGCATGATCAGGCAGCATAGTAAGTGTTGTGCTATCACTGTCTTCAGGAGTTTTAACACCGTTATCAAATCAATTCAGTGCGGAAAAGGCTTGAAGCATTTATTCACTCTATCAAGAAATGAGTGCAACTGGAGGACAGTTCAGATATAGGAACGTGGGTCATGCCATATTGGAAACGTACTGCAGAAAAGCGTGCTTCATTCTGAACGTGCGCAAAAATGGAATGTGGCTGTACGTGAAGTGCATACACCTGTACAAATAAGTTAACAGCTCTTCTGCGATGACTGTAACGCGATCCCGCGGAAAACTTAATAGGGCTCGTCATGGTAGCAAATACATTGTTCATCAAAAACCACTTCCTCTTGAAGGCCGCGCCCAGACAAGTCTAGATTATAAAGTTTCCGTCTACTGGGCCTGCTCATTGTGCTGGTCCCGAAAATGCATTGCTCATTTTCGGAGTCGTTCACGTTGAAACAGAGAACGCGATTTCCGCCGAGGATAGGGAGGCAGCGTTGTCGTATGACTCTTATGATCAAAATGCTACGCATGCCTGACGGCGCTGTTGGAAATCCGAAGCTGGACCTCGGGCTCAGTTTCAAAACCCTTTCTTTTTCATAACTTATATCGTCCCCGCGCTTGTGCGATGGCTCATACCGGGAACCATCCTTCAATATCATGAGGTCTCTAGACCCTGGATCTCGCCCCGTGCCTGCCTTCAGGTTTACGTCTTGAAAATGCTATTCAAATGTACCGCTAATGAATGCTACTCCTTGTAGCTTGCTGATACTAAACAGTTCTACCACAAGCACTGTCACCGAACGCACGGCATTCCTGATGCATCGGAAGGCCGAATGGAAGGTTTTGCTCCCGTGGGAAAATTATCAGAAAAACAGAAACCTGCCGATATCCTCAGTGGCCTGAAAAGCCGTGTCCTAGCAGGTATCATCTTTTTTAGAAAAGGACGAAATTGCTTTTTAGAAGGAGAGGACCTGAAAGTTGAAAAAAGAAGAAACGGAAGTTGGAACTTTGTTTGTTGTTGATATTGATAGTCCTTAGTAGTCCATGGGAGCACTGTAATGCAAGCAGCGTTATTCGAAATAGGAGGAAAAAAATGTTCTAAGATAGATCTGGGAAAAGCAGAGGAGGTTTTTTGCTAGAATCCTGTATCAACAATCTTAAAACGTGAAAGCGAGATCAGTGCGAGAACTCTTTCTGGAATGGTTATAAGAAGGTAGCAGCACAAGTGTAAAGAATCATTGTAATGCCGCACCAAGAAGCAGCTGTATCATAACGCCAGTGTTAGCTTAGCTTGAGTTCAGATGGAAGGAGACATTTCACAATGGACAAATTTGAATTGTTCGTTCATTATGAGAGCATGGGAATGATATTGATTGGACTGAGCGATACTGATACCAGCCAATTCGGAAGCATATCGAGTGAATGGAGAGCTCCTGAGAAACTTCCCGGACGACCGATAGATTTGATGATGCCACCAGAGATCTGGTCTACAGAGTTTTTCTCCATAAAAGAAGAGAAAATTAGGAAGAGAAAAAGTTCGCTGCGGTTATTATTTCAAAGCAGCACCTTTCTTCAACAGACGCTACTCTTGGAATATCGAAGGGGCCGGCAACCACCAGCGATAACTTCTAAGAAGCATGTTACTGAACTCTGTTGTCTTTTCAGCAAAATCACGCTACAGAGTAAGTTATAGATTACCCCAGCTTATCGCAACTTTTATCCTGAAATGAAATTTTCTTATTCGTATCTCAACGAAGGACATCATCTCATCCGCTCTTAACGTAATACAGTATGTTTGAATCGCGCTCTGTCGCTTCATTATCGGCATCTCTTAACCTTGCATAAAAGCGATCAATCAATTTTCTCATTTTTTTGCAAATCTGATTGAAGAAGTATCCACATGTATGGATCAGCAAATCTATACTCAGGCTGTCTGTGTATGTATGTTTGTTTGTATGTTATGAAAGACACTATGTCTAACACGTAAACTTTTAGAGGACACGTAATACGTAAACTTTTAGAGGACACGTAATATGTATATGGTTTTCATTTGTAGGTTACCACCGGCGCGGCCAATTTTGCAGAGACTGAATTTTCGAAAAAATGGCGCGAGTGTCATGCACAGTAGCCCTAAATATATATAGTATTGCGGGGGACTATATATACTGCTTTTGAGTTTCCGCTGAGAACAAATTATTCGTTCTTTCGCTAACCTTGAGTTAGATTTCAATTGGTAGAAAAAGAACTTACATGTGTAAAAACGTGTCGTAAATTGTCAGAATTTGCACTTTTATCGTGGAAAAGTAAAGTTAGCTTCCGAGACTACGGAGATGACAACTTATATCGCCTGTTTATTTTTATTTGTTTCCAATTATACTTCTCTAAGAAAACCGGTTGGAGGGTCAAAACTTATTTTTCGAAGAATTTTCTTGCCTCATCACCCTTTCCTTTGAAACATCATACATTATGTGAATTATTAGGTTGTAAAGAAAGTTCCCGGGCAGTTGCAAAATTTTCTTTCAAATCGCTGTAACTTCAAGCAGGTTGATTCTTTTTTGAAGCTACAAACTTCACTGCAAAGACAATTTTGTCCACAACATATATTTGTCTTGCTAGCTTCTCAGCGCCTCACTGCGGTCCACCAGCATGCGCAGAAGGGAAAAAGGTCGTAGCGAAAAGTGGCCTATTTGTGCATTATCTCAGGCATGATGAGAGCTGGAGAGCCCAGATGCTGTAGTTATATAGAGGTCTGCTGGGGCTGTTATGGGACCATTCATGTTTTTGAAGGCGCACCTGCAAAAAAATTTTTCCCAGAAAGTTTGAAAAATCGCCTATTTTTTGCCCCTAAAAATGCACCATTTTTCGAGTAAGTCAGTTTGAAGTCTTCTGGTTCTGCACAGAAAGAACCAAATCTCTGATTACTGGGAACATTGTTGGGGTAATGGCTTGCACACCTTTTGGACCCATCATCCAGGCGTGGCGATCCCCGCAGAAGCGACGCCAGCCGCGAAGAGAGTTGCAGTCAGAAGGAAGTTCGACAGCTTATAATTTCTGAGCGCAAATCGCAAAACCCGAGTGCAGCTGCGGGTTAGGAGTTAACAGGCTTCTCAATCAGATCACCTATGATTTGAACGAAATTCTTTGAATTGCACAAAAAAATGGCCGTAGGAAGAAAAATTGTGAAATTTTTGTGGTTGGAAAGATTTCTCTTCTTGACGTGCACATCAAACACGTCTTGACATCAATAAAAGTCAGAAGGCTTCTTAAAAACTTCAGGCTTTCCCCTACTGAACAGTATAAAAAACTTGGTGTCAAAGTCCGACCGAGCGCCGAAAAAAAGCGTTTGAAAATGAAATTTCCAAAAGTGCCCGGGAACTTTCTTTACAACCTAATAGTAATGTAACTTCCATTACTAATCATCATCCTAACTAAACGACGATGACAATGAGTCTGTCTACACCTATTCTGCATTTTGATAGATAATACATATCTTGATTTACTAGCCAGAGCCTTTTCCTTATTGTTTGTAAACACTTACGATCAGCACCTACCTATTAAAAGTTTCATTTCAGCAAGATTATCAAAGGTCTGTGACGGCTAGAGGTAAGAGGACGCATGTTCTTTACTTATTTGCTCATGTCTAGTAATAGCATGAAACTTTGGCTTAATAATTAGTAGCAGTCTAGATGTGATGTTGCTTTGTGCTTTTGAAAGTTTTGTATGACTTCTTTGAATATCTTGTTTTTCAGAGACAGTATAGACGATTCGGGTTACAAGACAACACCATGTCGGTGCTCTTCTCCTATCCGCTCATTCTGGGATTCTCAACCTCTTCATTCCAAACGCGAAAAGATTGCAAAGAGAAAGTTTTATATGGGATTTCTTGGTTCTATGCAGTACTGCAAAGAAACGGAGGAACAACGCAAGCTGTCACAAAGATTGAAGCTTTGAGCTTCACCCAGCATAATTCATAGCATTCCTTCCACATTTCCTAAGCAAATTTGTTTGAAGTTTCTATCTCAGGTAATGCCACCCGTTTGATTTTTTGATGAGTTGTGCCATGTTTGCATCTTACTCTTTTGGCAAATCCCCACTCTGCTACATTTTCCCCGTAAAAGTGACGTATGCTTTTCCATACAAGGCTATTATTAGAAAATTGTTCATTGAAAAACAGCATGAATTCACTTAAATTGCTAACTATAGGTGGCTAAAGTTCTATAGAAAGTTTGCAATGAAGCACGGTTTCTCTGCTTTTGTAACTGCAATAAAGTAAATAGCTAGCTCTACTCAGTATGATGCACAAAGCACGATATTTGTGGCACTAATAAAGCAGGCTCTTCCCGTAGTTTAACTTGGCTGAAGATAACTTGAGACACATTCTTTGATGTGTTTTAAGTATTTATCTTCAAAGAAAATGCGAGAAATATCGTTGTTTATTGTTCTGAACCACACATGTAAGTAGACAAACAAGATATCTAACTATTCTATGAATGAGCAGATAGACATGGGATTTACTAGCAAAGTTAACCAAGATAATGCAAAAGTAAGGGAGAAGTATCCTTCGCCGTTTTTAGGAAATTTTTACCATTCCTTATTAGGAGGACGTTTAGTGTTGGTAAGGGGTTCAAATACATAGCTGAAACGTAATATAGAGGATCATCAGACATGCAAGTGACAAAAAGTAATACTCGCTGGAGTTCAAGTTTAGCTTTGCAGTGGGACGTTGGCTTGAACGAAATAGTCTCTGCTCTCTGCATATGAGATATTCAGTCTTTCGTTTTTGCTAAATTATTGACGTATGCTCCTCCGTTGTGGATGCTTTATTTGACGTACTTGAGCGATGACCAAGTTTTTGTTGGAGTCTAAAATCAAAAATTCACATTATCCATCGCCAAAGCTGCTTATTTAGCTGATGCCATTGATTTAAATGAACGAAACAAATGCAATAATGCAAAAGTGGCGATTTTATGTTCAACTAGCGAAGACAATGAAACAGACTTGTCACAATCTTGGGTAGGTCTCGATTTTTTCGCTGTATTGCCTATCATATCGATAATAATCGAACGTAATGTGGAATGCAGTGTCAGTATATATTGATAATGTTAGTAATTACTGTAGTGCTCTTACATGCAATTTCTTACCAAAAGATCTTGAATGGATGCGTTTTTCCAGTCATCATCTGCTCAACGATTCAATTTACGTGAATTGTGTTAAGAGTGACTATTAGAGTCAGCTTTGACAGATAATCAGGATCTAAGTATTGGGGTGGTACAAGATTCACATAACCCAGTGAAATTCAGCTAAATCAAAACAAAGTGCGTTTTACGCAGTAATCTAGTTTCAAACTGCTGCTTCTCATAAAGCAACAAAACGTGTATCTTCATGGCAGCTTTACTCTAACCCATGCTCATACCTTTTGATCTCTGGAAGAATCATTGCTTTTTCTAGTCATCTAGTTTCACTGTAATAATATATCTGTACCGTGTAGTACGGCAACAAGTAATCATTTTATTCTACGTACAAAGTTATGTCATCTTCTGATATTGTAATAGATAATTCTGTGTTCAAATTGTTGGTATATGTTGATAAATGCGAATTTGTTAATACCCAATGAAATGACTAGCATGGAGGAGACGACTTAGAACCCTCGAATGATCTCCATCGTACTTCTGCATCAAAGCAAGCTCTTTTGTGACTCAAGATGCTTTGAGATTCCTTCTGACTTTGACTTGTGCACGTCATTTCAATGTATTTAGATAGGAAAGTAATGGGACACTTAGAAAAATAATTGCAGTTTTCTTATACAGAAAAATCAATTGGACGTCTAAGTTTTGGGAGATGTCAGTACATATCAATATCTTCTGGTCGAAGTCTATAGATAGGCACTGTCGCATGGCGTCGTGTTTATAGTGCTCAAAATCTAAGCTCGTCACTTCAAGTAATTTCGAACTTAATGCAGTTAAGCCGCATTAAAACAAGCGAGGCTGCCAAAAATATGTGTGCTGCCGTGAGTTAGAGGATCCACGATAGCCTGATGATGCCACCGTGCAACAGATATAGCCTTGAGCATTAGGTGACATATTAATTATTTTCTCATCGAGGTGATCGAATGGGCTTAACTTCGACGGATGACACCTGATAGAGCTGTTTACGCCCTATTCATACGCGACTTACCTCGAGAAAACCAGCCTTCAAAATATTGTGGGCCAAACACATCTGCGCCAGAGGGTGCGTGGCGTTAGGTACCCAGCCGAGGTGCGGGCGTTAGGTACCCAGCCATTAGTGGTATACTCTAAGCCACGCCCCTTGGTTGCTTCAACAGCGGGTACCTAACGATACATCGAATCTCAGCTGCTAGAACAGCTCACCTGGCTCACTAAAGCGCTGGCGCTTGCGACCCGCGGAAGAAAGTTCGAGAAAATCAAAAAACAAATCGCGCGAATGAAAGTGCAACGTTTTTTCTATGCTTCTTTTTATCTATTTTAGAAGAACAGAAATTCGGTGGAAGGTTAAAACGAGGTAAAACAGGCTTTCATGAGCACTTCACATAGTTTTGCAAAAAGAAATGGTGATGGTCTGATCTAACCGATAAGGTCAGCGGGATTTCTGACAACGTCAACTGTAGACTTCCAATAAACTAATTTTATGTTTCTAATAAAGCAAAGCGCAATTTCGCAGTTGCCACTGGCAAATAAGTTGTACGGAATATTTCTTCATTCCAAAAAAGTGCTTCAAATAATTGACAATGAAAAGTGGAAGCGATTGGGAGAACGAGAACGAGAATTTGTCACCAGGAATCGGAACTCAATGGAGAACTATGTGACCCATTGATTTAGGGGAAGGGCACTAGCTCTGTTCCAATCAGGGTAACCCTTTTGCGTTAATATTGCCACAGGGATCGTGAACTGCATTGTAGATTATTAAGGCTATTACTTCGGTCATTGCTGAGGCTAAAAGAATTATGGGACATTGCCTTTACAAGCACACATTATTTCTTTATTTCGGATTTCACATCCCTTATAAAAATGTCATTGAGCTGCATTTTATCATACCTATATTCTTTGTAGTGCTTTTTGGAGCACTTTTATATTGCAATTATTTCATATTCATTCTCTTTTCTAGCAGCCAAAATGTGATCAATTTATCCAACCAAAGCTAAGAATTTCTTTGTAACTCACTAAAAAGTGAAAGATGTTGTCAGTAAAGTTCTCAGTAGAGTTTGTTGCTTTTTTCTGTTTTTCTATTGGACACTCAACCGAAGTTGGCATATCTATAAAGCAAAATTTTCATTGATTAGAACAGAGCTAGTGCCCTTCCCCTAAATCAATGGGTCACATAGTTCTCCATTGAGTTCCGATTCCTGATGACAAATTCTCGTTCTCGTTCTCCCAATCGCTTCCACTTTTCATTGCCAATTATTTGAAGCACTTTTTTGAAATGAAGAAATATTCCGTACAACTTATTTGCCAGGGGCAACTGCGAAATTGCGCTTTGCTTCATTAAAACCATAAAATTAGTTTATTGGAATTCTACAAACTTGATTTTGTCAGAATTCCCGCTGATGTTATCGGTTAGATCATGCTATCACAATTTCTTTTTGCAAAACTATTTGAAGTGCTCATAAAAGCCTGTTTTACCTCGTTTTAACTTTCCACCGAATTTCTGTTATTCAAAAAATGAAAAAAAGAAGTAATAGGAAAACGATGCAATTTCATTCGCGCGATTTGTTTTTGATTTTCTCGAACTTTTTTCTGCGGGTCGCAAGCGCCAGCGCTTCAGTGAGCCAGGTGAGCTGTCTTAGCAGCTAAGACTCGGTGTATCGTTAGGTACCCGCTGTTAAAGCAACCAAGGGGCGTGGCTTAGAATATACCACTAATGGCTGGGTACCTGACGCCCGCCCCCCGCGCCAGATATTGCTCTTTTATAGGTAATCTTATATATAAAGCTGAATGTCTGTTTGTATGTATGTATGTATGTATGTCTGTACGTATGTTCCGAATAGAAAATTCCATTTCTGAACCGATCCGGACCAAACTTGGCACACATACACTACGGGCCCCGGCGGGTGTCATAGGCTACTTTTCGTCATCGATCGATATCGATTTTATCGATTTTTATCGATTTTTTTGCTGAGTTCACCTACGGGGCTGGAAGTTGGCACAGGGGGGTAATCGAGCATGGGGATTCCGAATACAATATTGGTTTTCAGGATTATCGATTACTTTTATCGATTTTATCGATTTTTTTGCAAAGTTTGAGCTACGGGGCTGGGAGTTGGCACAGGAGGGTAATCGAGCATGGGGATTCCGAATACAATATTGGTTTTCAGGATTATCGATTACTTTTATCGATTTTATCGATTTTTTTGCAAAGTTTGAGCTAGGGGGCTGAGAGTTCGCACAGGTGGGTAATCGAGCATGGGGATTCCGAATACAATATTGGTTTTCGGGATTATCGATTACTTTTATTGATTTTATCGATTTTTTTGCAAAGTTTGAGCTAGGGGGCTGAGAGTTGGCACAGGGGGGTAATCGAGCATGCTGATCACCCCCAAGGGGGATGATCAGCATGCTCGATTACACCCCTGTGCCAAATTCCAGTCCCCTAGCTCAAATTTTCAAAAAATCGTTAAAATCGATAAAAGTAATGGACGATCTTGAAAACTAATATTGTATTCGTAATCTGCATGCTCGATTACCCCCCTGTGCAAACTCCCAGCCCCGTAGGTCAAACTTTACAAAAAAAATCGATAAAATCGATAAAAGTAATGGACGATCCTGAAAACTAATATAGTGTTCGTAATCAGCATGCTCGATTACCCCCCTGTGCAAAATCCCAGCCTCGCATGTCAAAATTTACAAAAAATCGATAAAATCAATAAAAGTAATCGATAATTCTGAAAACTAATATTGTATTCGGAATCCCCATGCTCACTTCCCCCCCCCCTGTGCCAACTCCTAGCCCTGTAGGTGAACTCTGCAAAAAAATCGATAAAAATCGGTAAAATCGACATCGATCGATAACGAAAAGTGGACTGTGACACCCGCCGGGGCCCGAAGTGTATGTGTGCCAAGTTTGGTCCGGATACGGCGGAGCCGGGTAAGCCAGCTAGTCTGCCTATATTATACAGAATGATGAATTTTTCTGCAAGTTCAAGCGATCATTAGAAATAGCTTGGAAAGCATTTCCGAATGTTATGTCATATGCCCAGGTACTGCATTACAATCGGATGACGTTTAAAAAGAAGTCTGTCTGGCTTTTTCGAAGCACCGCGTGAAGGACTGCAAGATATGAGCTGC